AGTGGGAGGAGGGGGCCTGGCCGGAGGGCGGGCATGCAGGCCGCACCGCGGCGCCGGGCCGCCGGGGTAGGGGCCGCGGCGGGCGGGGCGGGCTCGGCCCGGCGCCGGGTAGTTAGCTGGCGCGGAGGGCGGGGGTCGCGACCTCAGAGGCGGCTCCTGGCCGGGACCCCCGCCTGCGCGCGCCCGCGTTCCTCGAAGCCGGCCGGGCGCGGGGCCCAGGTGAGGCGCAGGTGAGGGCCCGCGGCGGGACAGCTTCCGGCGCGGCCGAGGGCCCGGGGCCCGGCCCTCCCGCTGAGATCGTGCCCTGCGCCCCGCCCCGTGCAGCTTCCCGGAGGGTCACCGGGCCCCTCGCCCCCAAGCCCACCGAGCCCAGAATATAACCCGGGCGCAGCCCTGCGTGGAGGCCCGACCCCTTCCTGCCAGAGAAGCGGGTCACCTCTCCGGGCACCGGGATCCTTCCTGGCAGAGGCTGCGCTGGGAGTGAGCGCCCCCAGGCCGGGAGCAGAGGGCAGGGCAGGGTCAGCCGGGAGGGTCTCGCCTGGCCTCCGGCCCCCTAGGCACTGGCAGTGGCCCTGCAGCTTTGCTGGGGAGCCGTCCTTGCCGTATTGTAAAGTCTCATCTTCCGCGGGCCAGGGCCGGAATTCCAGCGCACGCCCACTTCAGGCTGGCCCTCCAGAGAGGGCCCTCCTTCTGGGCCTTGTATCCCGACCCTCACCTCCCTAATCCTGGGGAAAGTCCAGCCTGGGAGGGAAGGGCAGGAGCTGCTCAGCATTAATGGCGAAGCCACATCGCGTGCGGGGAGCCGGACTTGGCCAGGGGATGAGCGTTAGCGAGGTTCTGTCCTCCTGGAGGTTGGTGTCTAGACTGAGAAGAGAACCCAGGTGCCCTCCTCCACTGTTCAAATTCTAGCACCACATGGCTTTGGGGCGCAGGGCTGGGTGTCCTCACAGCCACCCTCCAGACCTGGTCCCCGGGTTCTCGAGGAGCAGGGTGGCAGTTTGGCAAAGCGAAAGCCCCCAGGCTTCAGCCCACAGTCTCTCCAAGTACAGTGTCGGGGAGTTTTCCAGAATGATTCATCTCATTGTGGGTGATTGTCTTAAAGCCACAAGCTGTCGCTGGAGACGCTGTCTGAATTTTTAACCTTTCTTGCGCTAGGTAATTTGACAGTTCAGAAAACTGCCCACTAGGAGTCCGAGCTCTCCATAGTCATTTAAGAGCTGTGAACATGGTCAAGGTGATGGGTAGAGAGCAGCGCTTTTCCTTCCGCCCACTCTGCTACCTGGAGTGGAAACCACTGCAGCTTGGGTTCATCCTTGGGCCCACTTTTCAGATAGCAGTGCTGTTTAAAAAGTTAATATTCTTTATTTAGACTCTTCCCAGTTCAAGGCCTATGCAAATGTCTCGTAATCGCTGTCATTTTGCCAAGGCAGCTTGAATGATGACCACAGCAAGGTGGGCGCAGCCCAGGGAAAGAGCCCTCCGCCTCCCCACTGTTGCTCCCCACTGCCCTTGGGAGGGAATCTCCCTGGAGGGTGGTGCTGTGGGAGGGATCGTGGACTGTTATGGGTGCTCACATCTGAGGACTGATGAATAGCCTCCCATGTTCCCTGCCGTCACCATCCTACAGGATCAGACCGATGGCCCAGGAGAGTTGGGAATTAGTTGTGGTTAACTGTATTTGGCCTCAGGGTAAGTTCTTCCAAAATTGAATTTTGAGCCCTTAATGTGATTTCTTTCCCCCCAAATACTTACCAGCTGTAGTTTCAGCCTCTGAATTAGGTCTCTGATTCTCTTTAATCTTGGCAGTCAAAAGTCCGTTTAAAAAGTGGGCACCAGATGCTACAGCGTAGAGGTGGGGGGACGAAGACCCAATCCCTGAACCGTTCTGCAAACGTCACGCCGGACCTGGACTTGAAGAGAATCGCAGGTAAAGGCAGCAAATTCTTTTACATTGTAGAGTCTCACTTTCTGAGCATAAGTAGTAATAGCAGAGGACTTCCTTCTGAATTGGTCATGCCCTCTGGTTAATTGCTGGTCCCACCTGTTTGGGCACGTCTGTGCCTAGGTGGCTGGGCTAGGCTTTCCTGGAAAGGACTGTGGTGTGTAAACACAGGATTCTGTGCTCGTCAGGAAGGAAGCTCCTGGGGGAGAAGGATCTGCATGGGAAGCAAAGCAAACACACAGGCCACTTCCGGCCACCCCGCAAGGCCCCAGGGTGGTGACCGCCTTGCTCGGCACTGTTTGGAGTTGGAACTCGATTTCCCTGTTTCCACAAGCACTGCCAAGCTCTCCTCTTGCATCTCGGCTACTTTGCATTCCAGTTTGCAGGGGATCGGGAGAGGTCAGAGAAACATGTTAAGAGCTGACAGTTATACGATGTATTTTGCGTCTCTCTAATTGGCTGTGTACAGCCTGCGTTATGTTCCCCTCCCCGGTGGTGGTCCCAGACCTGTAGTGTAAAGGCTGTTGGGAGCAGCTCTTCAAAGTGTCCCCAAGACTATCCCAGTGGTTCTGCCGACCCAGCCACATTTGGTCTGAGATACAAAAGCTGTGGAGAAACCACACAGCGTGAAAAGGGGCGCCTTACTGTGTTTGGGGCAACTTCTATATTAATTACCTAAAAATAATCATACGGTCCCATGAGACCATCTGGCAAATATACATTCGACGTTTTAAAATAAAGAGGCTTTGGGCTTCCCTGGTGGCGCAGTGGTTGGGAGTCCGCCTGCCGATGCAGGGGACACGGGTTCATGCCCCGGTCCGGGAAGATCCCACATGCCACGGAGCGGCTGGGCCCGTGAGCCATGGCCGCTGAGCCTGCGCGTCCGGAGCCTGTGCTCCGCAACGGGAGAGGCCGCAACAGTGAGAGGCCTGCGTACCGCAAAAAAAATAATTAATAAATAAGTAAAATAAAGAGGCTTTGGTATAAGTGAGTCTTTAAAGTTGTTTAGGGAGATAAATGTTTAAATGCTCCCATTGAGTAACTTCTCATTTCAGGAGCTGCTGATTCGCGTCAAGGTTGGACCTACCCACGACGTCTCACTGAACCTGGATTCATACTAGTTGTTCTTTTCCACCTGCAGAGGAGCACTGAGTCTTTATCTCATTGGCACCTCCTGACAACTTTTGGAGGTAAATAAAACCTCTGTTCCTGTCCCGGAGAAGATGGACAGAGGGACGGGGAAAGGACACTCGTGTGAGCTTCCGCGAGCTCGCTGCGGGTGGCTCGGAAGCGTTTTCTCATGAAGCTTCGTGGCCGTCTTGCATCTACAGCCAAGGGAGATGCGACCCGGGAGGCGTGAGTGACTTGCCCTGGGACCCGCGGCCGGCTGGACCCTCACCAGGCCCACCGCTTCTCCGTGACGTGACCTAGGGCGCCATCCCGGCGTGCCTTCTCCTCCAGGATGTGAAGCAGGCAGAGAAGCAAAGTGCCGCCTCTCTGCGCGTCCCGTCGGCTAGGATGTATCTCATGAATGCGCCTCCTGTGCTCGCCCTGCCGTCCAAATGGGAGGCCTTTGGCCCACCCGGGAGCTGTAGGTTTCCCGGATGCTTCTCGGAGCCGAAGGAGGGCGTCCCGAGAGCGGCGGTGAGCGCCAAGGTGCAGGCGGTCATCAGCACGCTTCAGGGGGACGGGGCCGCCCTGGGCATGAGTGGCGAGCATGGCCGGCAGAGAAGCCAGAGAGCGGAGAGGGGCCGCGGCACCAGGCTGGCTACCAGCCCCACCTTTGCCGCCTGTGGTCTTGCTGTTGGTTTTGACCCCAAGGGGGAGGAGGAGGCCGCGGACCTTGGCCCCCTGGTGCTGGATTCGGACAGTGATGATTCCGTGGACCGCGACATTGAGGAAGCCATCCAGGAGTACCTGAAGGCCAAGAGCGGGGCCGCCCGGCCTCCCGCAGCCGGTCGATGCAAACCAGAGCCGCCTCCGAGCGGCACCCCGACCGCCCTGTGCCCCCCAGACCTTGCAGCTGGCCCCACTGGTGTCCCCGGCAGCCACAGGGGAGTCGGCCAGGACCAGGGCTCTGCCTCGCCGCTCAGCGTGAGCAGTGAGGACTCCTTCGAACAGAGCATCCGGGCGGAGATCGAACAGTTCCTAAGTGAGAAGAGGCAGCACGAAACCCAAAAATGCGATGTTCCTGCAGACAAAAAACCAGACCCCGCTGACAGCTTGGCCCAGTCGGCGTCTAGATCCAGCAGAGAGCCGACGGGCAAGGCGTACCAGCAGGAGCTGGTGGGCACCTGTAAGGAGTTCACCTTCCGGAAGCCTCCCAGGTCCACAAAGGCTGGCGCGCTGCCCAGAGGCCCCAGGTGCAAGGTCACCGTTGAGCCCGCCGCGGCTGCGGGCCGCCCTGCAGAAGCAGCCCCTGGTAAAGTCGGGGTCAGGAGGGGCACCGGCTCAGGGAAGAGGGGAAGGCGAGCCAGGAGCGCGGCCCTGGTGCCTGAGGCGGCCGACTCAAGCAGCGATGATGGCATCGAGGAGGCCATCCAGCTGTACCAGCTGGAGAAGAGGAAGGAGGCAGGCGGCGAGCCGCCGCAGAGGGCCCTGCCCACGGAGGAGAAGGGCCCCGGGCCCCCTGCACACAGCACGGGCCTCTGCACCAAGAGCACCTGGCTCGAAGGCCACGGGAAGACCCCGGGCAAGAAGAAGCCGGTGGCCACCAAGGCCGCGGACTTCAGCCCGGGTGGCCCGGACCCCGACCACCCCTCCAGGCCTCCCAGGGAAACCGTGGCTCCTGCACCTCCAGGAAGTACAGCTGCCGAAAGCAAGTCTGTGGACGGGTCCCCGTGCCGCGCAGACACATCCGCGGAGCTGATGTGCGCTGAAGCGATCCTGGACATTTCCAAAACGATCCTGCCGGGTCCCCTGGAGGGCAGCACCAGATCCCCGCCCACCAGCCCACTCCTGTATCCCCACGACGTGCCTTCCTGCTCCGACGGTGACAGCAGCTCTGTGGACAGCGACGACAGCATCGAACAGGAAATCCGGACGTTCTTGGCTCTGAAGGCGCAGTCAGGGGGGCTGCTGCCCAGGACGGAGACGTGCCCGCCACCGGCACACAGCCCGCTGCTGCCGTCCGGCCTCAGCGCCTCGGCCTCCAAAACGCCGGACCTGTCACTGAGCTGCAAGAGGAAACGCGGAGCAGGCAGCACCGCCGTGCGGCCGTGCACGCCCAAGAGGACCAGAGACACGGCCGAGGCGCAGGAGGGCGCCCGGGACGCCGACCGCAGCCAGGGGAGAGTGCAGCCCAGCCAGGGGAAAGCCAGCGAGGCCCCGGGAAGGGAGGGTGAGACCTGGGGCCAGCCTCTCCCCTGCAGGACGGGCGTGCTGGGTGATGAGCACGGGGCCCCGGTCACGCAGGGTACCGTGTTGCCAGGCCCCGGGAAGGCGGCCGAGGCGAGGCGCGTGGATGAGAAGGAGAGCTCCGAGGACAAGAGCAGCTCGCTGGACAGTGACGAGGACCTGGACACGGCCATCAAGGACCTGCTGCGGTCCAAGCGGAGGCTCCGGAAGAGGTGCAAAGACCCCAGAGCCGGCTGCAAGAAGAGGGTCAGGTTCAGCACCACGGAGACACAGTTCCTGGATAAAGTAGGGGGCTTCCCGAAAGACTGGAAAGACCGAAGCCCACATCTGCTGAAAAGCTGCCTCTCAAAGTCCAGAAAAGAGAGCCCGGGGAGACCCTCGCACGTCCTCTGCCGAGAAGCGGTGAGAGCAAAGCCAGACGGCATGGCAGCCGAGGACGCGCCCCCGGCTCCCCGGTCCAGGGGCCAAGCCGCAGGAAGGAGCCTGTTCTCTGGTGAATCGGAAGCCCGTGAACTTCGTGGTCCGGCCCCAAGCCCCAGTTCCCTGTCTGATGACAGCAGCTCTGTAGACAGCGATGACAGCATTGAACTGGAGATTAGGAAGTTTTTGGCCGAAAAGGCCAAGGAGTCCGTGAGCGGATCAGAAATTCAAGGAGGGGGCCCCACCGCTCTCGGGACGGGGAATGGGGGCAAGCCAGAGCTGCTGTGCCGGAAAGTGCTACCTCCCGGCCCGGCCCTTCAGCCTGGCATGTGCACCCGGAGCCAGAGGTGCAGGGGGCCCTTGCAGCCGGCCGAGGGACCGAGGGGCCCGGGCAGAGCCTTCGCTCCGGCCGGGAGGAGCAGCCCCCGCGCCGAGCAGGCCTGCAGCCCTGCAGCCCTGGCCAGATGCGAACTGGTGCCGCCCAGGAGCGCCAGCGGGACCGCGTCTGCCAAAGGGTCACCAGCCAGTAGGAGAACCGCCTATGCGCCCAAAGATAAGAGCCCGAGGGGGGCCGAGGCTGCCGCGGGGGAAAGCGCATTGGCTCAGCTCCCGAGCTGCGTGGAGGCTGGCGCTCGGGCAGACAGCCGGAGCTCACTGGCACGGACCCCAGGCGCCGAGCGAGAGGGGAGGCCCCGGGCCGGCCTCGCCCTGCCCTGGACTGACTTCTCCCCCCAGAGCCGGTTGCAGAGCACCTGGGCACTGAGCACGAAAGGCAGGGACGCGGCGGCGTGGAAAGGGGGCCTCAGGGGCCAGAGAGAGAAGCGGCTGGAGGGCCAGGCCCGGGGCTCGCCCAGCCTCGCCATGGACCCCAAGAGAGGCCTGCCTTTTGCCGGCTTCTCACCACTGCTCTCCACGCAGCTGTTTCACTTCGGGAAGAGTGTCTCCTGGGGGGGGAAGCAGGCCAGCCTCTTCAGTCCCCCCCTGAGCCTGCCTCTGCAGGGCGCATCCTTCTCGGCCTTCCGAGAGACCCAGGCTGGCCCAGTGTTCGGAAGCTCACACTTGCTGGTGAAGCAGGAGGGTGGCCGCTGGCCGCCCAGGAAGTCCCAGGCAGGGCTCAGTCTGCCCGACAGGAGGAACTCGGTGCCGGAGGAGAGCATCTTAGACCTGCGGTACAGGCGGAGGGGGGTGGACAGAGACGGTGAAGACCAAGAGGCCCTGGGCAGCGATGCCAGCGAGTTCAGCGATGCGTCTGTGGAGGAGGGCGGCAGCCTCTTGGCCAAGGGCCCCGTCCTCCAGCTGTGAGCACGCTCCTGGCCGCGGCAAGTGTGGGCGAAGCATGTGTGTGCCCGTCCCCACGTGTCACACACTCCTGATGAAAGGGCGGAGCCCCGGAGGCCCCTGTACAGCCTGTATATATGTACACTAACGCGAAAGGATGTTTTTATTTAACGGATGTGTCCTGGTAAATATAATTTTTGTAGGCTTTTTGTAAATTATTTAAAGTGCTGTAAAAAATATTTTTGGTGAATACCATTGTTGGATTTTGTAGGGCGTCCCTCGGGGCAGCTTTCCGTGGTCTCCGCACTAGTCTCAGATCAGCAAACACTTCGTTCCGACTGCCCCTGCACTTGGGGTTGAGCGCTGGTGGCCGTGGCCAGTCGTGGCCACAGTTCGGGCCCGAGGAAGGCAGCAGCTGGTGCCCCGCCTGAGACGTGCCAGAGCGCCCCAGCGGTCTTGGTTGGGACACCCCTGGACAGCACTTCTTACGTAAAAGAGGCCCGAGCATGTCTTCAATTGGAAAAGCGTTTCAAAGCACAATGGCCAGCGAGCACACCGGCCATGCCAGTTGCACGTAGGAGTCCTGAGTGAGATCTCAGGGCCGGTCACCAGTTCACGCCTGAAGCCTGTGTTGTTTAACGGCCAGTCCTGTTCAATCATGACATGATGCTACCGGCTCAATAAACCTATTTTTATACAGGAGCTGCCGTCCTTCGTTTTTAGTCACAGCTCTAAAAAGGTACCAGGCAGCCCGTGTGTTTTAAATGCCCTTGTCCTGATCTGGGCAAAGCAAAGAGGCAGCGGCTGCTTCATGGGATCTGGTGCCCGGAGTCCTGAGGACCGAGGACAAAGCCCACCGCCCTCCGGGAACTGGGCTCGCTGGGACTGTGCTCCACCAGCAGGGGCGTGCCCGTGCTCTCGGTGTGTTTGAGCGGCGGTGCCACGCACACAGGGAAGAGCGTGGCATCCTATACCTTGTGCTCTGAGGCTGCTGCGGTGCCCACAGCTACAGAAGAGGCAGGTGGGAACCTGCACACGTGAGGCTGAGCGCTGACGTTTACCCGCGATCGTCCAGCAAACTGATCGGCTGCCGCAGTTGTGACAACTCATCAGTAGCTGCAGTGGGCCTGGAGCAAGGTTTAATTTGCAGCTGAAGTTGTTATTCTGATGTGCAAATGAATTTTCTACATGTTGTGCCCCCCTAGGTCTTAGCAGGAATTCACTTCTGTACCCAAATGGGGACGTGTGCCAGCACCCACAGTCAGTGTCCGCTGGGTCAGATGCTGTGACGAGCAGGCCCTGTGGACTCCGTGACCGTCCGGTGCCTACGCGCTGTGCATCCGATATTTCCGTTGTCGAATATTCATTCACTTAAGTGCTTCCCGGAAAAACAATTAATTAATCCATGCTTTAAATTTCATTTAATTTTGAAGGAGTGCTTTTAACACTTGAAAACAAAAATCAGCTTGTTTTGTATATAAGAACTGGATTTTTTGTTTTTTGTTTTTTTTTTATGCTAATAAATCAGGCACTGCTCACAAATCAGTTGATGTAGTCTGTCCTGTGCAGAGTGGCCTTTGCAGGATGTTGACGTGAGAACCCGATGTCTAGGACCTGCCAGTGTTCTTCTGTGCCATCGTGCATTTAGTCCTGAGCACCTCTCTGCTCCTGCGGCCCATCCCAGCCTCCCCCAGACCCTTTGCACCTTCCTCTCCCCCTGCCTCCCTAGCCCCAGTCTGTGTGCTTACTTGGCAGTGCAGACCATGCCTGGTTTTCACAAACTGGACGTAAACGTGATCGTGCGGGCCCATCCCTGGATTGCCAACAAGCCATGCCGCGTGAAAGATTTTGCTTTCCCTCTCTCCAACATCCTAGGTCAACTCTGGCACACACTGGGGCCAAGGTCCGAGGTCCCCCTGCACCCTGTCTGCAAAGGGGGCTGCAGTGGGGGGCAGACGGGAGCAATGTCCCTCAGTGATGGCTGTCTATACGTTTGCAGCCCTGGTACAGCTCCTCCGATGATCCGGGCCCGACCCTGCATCCGTGCATCACGGCATCCCCGGAGCTGCTGCATGAGATGGCACGTGTGCCCGCACTTGTAGGAAGAGTCTCGGCGAGGATGTTACCAAATCTAGCTGTAATTACTCAGACCTACAGATAAGTCCGAACCAAAGAGCCCCTCTTGCCTCCCAATGGGGAGGGGGTGGGCGTCTATGTACCTGGGGCCACAGGTTCATTTCACCTAATGCAAAGAAGGGGGAGAGACCCGTTTTTTTTGTTTTGTTTTTGGGTTTTTTTTTTTTTGCGGTATGTGGGCCTCTCACTGTTGTGGCCTCTCCCGTGGTGGAGCACAGACTCCGGACGCGCAGGCTCAGCGGCCATGGCTCACGGGCCCAGCCGCTCCGCGGCATGTGGGATCCTCCCGGACCGGGACACGAACCCGTGTCCCCTGCATCGGCAGGCGGACTCTCAACCACTGTGCCACCAGGGAAGCCCCAAGAGACCCGGTTTTTGAGGTGTCTAATGCTCTGGGTTAGGTCATCCTGGGGTCACTGTGTCGCTGCAGGAACTGCCCCCTTTTCTGGAAAGAATGGGCCCGTTTCAGAAGTCCCAGCAGAATAGGATGGGAGTGGGAAGAGGGGGAAGTCCTGGAGGTTAGTGTTCAACGTTCACCACCCGCGTCTCCGCATCAAGGAGAGGGTCTTCCTAAAGAGAAGAGTCATGGACTTCCCTGGTGGTGCAGTGGTTAAGAATCCGCCTGCCAATGCAGTGGACACGGGTTCGAGCCCTGGTGCTGGAAGATCCCACATGCTGCGGAGCAGCTAGGCCTATGCGCCACAACTACTGAGCCCACACGCTCCAACTACTGAAGCCCGCGTGCTCTAGGGCCCGTGCTCCTCAACAAGAGAAGCCACCACAATGAGAAGCCTGCGCACCGCAATGAAGAGTAACCCCGGCTTGCCACAACTAGAGAAAGCCCGCACGCAGCAACGAAGATCCAATGCAGCCAAAAATAAATAAAATTTTAAGAAATCGCGAAGTGTTGCTCTGAACTTTCTCTTTTGCTCAGAATCCGAGTTATCAACAGGTTTTCCCAAGCTGAGACACACTCGCAGTGGGAAACCAGGCCCTCAACTGAAATACTAGCACTTTATCTGCTCATATAAAAAGTATTACCACCTTGATCCTCCTCTCTCCTTGAAATTAATTTAAGGGCCTGTGTAGAGGGGACGGGGAGGGGGAAATATATTATTTGCAGAAGCTTTGAGATTTCTGGTGTTTTGTGTGCTGAACAGAGGGATTTTTTTTTCCCAGTGTCAACACATTTTACTAGGTATTTGAAACCATTTATTCTAATTGACTGTAAATGAAAGATTAAATATCACTGAAGAAAAATAGACAAATGAAAATATACTTTTAGAGTAAGAAGTTACTGGTTTTAAGCCAACTCAGCAGCTAAATTAAGTGATTAGTGAAGTGCTGTGAAACTTCGTCAATGTTTCATTTCAGAGTGGAATAGAGGCCAGATAAAGAAAAGACCTACTCGTGGATGGGGAAAGAGTTTCTCTGGAATTGCCGTGCAGTTTATTTAATAACCTGTGGAAACTGTTTTTTGTTAACCTCTTTGGATCGCCTTTCCCGTAATTGTTCTGATTGGATTTAAGATTTCAAAAGAACTCAGTACAAAGGTCAGAAGAATGATGGGTGTCATTTTCTTCCCATTCTGTATGCTATAATGCCGAACAGAAGGCATGTTCTTGTAATTTAGGATTAGACCTGTCAATCTAAACTCTTTTATTTTTCCCCTCACACATAAAGATTCCAGTTTGAAAATAGGTTAAGAAGATAAATTTCATGATAATCACTGGAGTTCGTATATGACTCGTGCAAACAGGTAGGAAGTTAGGGTGTGTCTATGGGGTCAGATTCTGATGACCTGGCCCCTCCCAGGACCCCCCAAGGCGGGTTCAAGCCCAGGACCTGCTGCAGGGCACCCCCTCTGGACCCTAATTTTCCCATCCATAGATGGAGGTACAGCAAGACCTGCCCCAGGCGTGAGCATCAGATGAGGTGACACTGTCAAAGCTGTTCGAAAACCGTGAAAACAGACAAGTGGAGGGGAGCATGGCACCTCGCGGGGGCCCAGGCGCCAGGAGCATGTGGCAATTGGGAGCCTGAGCCGGAGATGGTGGGTGAGTTTTCAGGAAGACAGGCATGTACGTTATACCAGAGGTACTTCGGTTGTCCGTCTTTCCAGACATTTATTCTACGTACAGAGTCTAACGTTCCATTAACTCATTAGCAACTGATACAGAAATATTGGTTATTGGCTATGACAATTAAAGCACATCAATGCCTGATTTTGATGCCAGGATTAACTTCGTAAAGCTCACTGGCGTGCTTGGCATATTTTGTTTGTGGATGTCAGCTCGACTGACCGTCCCAGCCCGGGCTCTGACCTACACACGCTGTCCTGTTCCGGGAGCGCAGGTGCCCACCGGGTCTAGCTTGGAGGGGAAACCGTCACTTTGCCTGACGGCTGCATCCTCCCCTAGATCCCCTGCGCTTCCCAGCCAGCTTCAGAGGAAGGGATTTGTCCTCTTCAGTGAGTTTAGAAACCGGATTGATCAGCTGTTCTTTTTCTTTTTTTATTTCAACAGAGGAGAAATACAGAAACATTCTGAGGATTTTGGTATTTTTAATGAAAGGTTGTTTAAAAAAAAAAAGGCATTTTCAGTGTGATGCCTGGAGTCTGTGCTAGTTTTCCAGCTAAGGAGAAGGATATAACATAGACCCTGGCTCCAGACGCAGCTTTGTACCTTTTCTATTCAAATAATAGATTGATTTCTCTGGAAACCATTTCCACCCCAAACTGAACGTTAAGAATGTTGCTGAAATGTTTACTTTTGTGTAATAATAAGTCTTTAATGAAGAAATAACCGGTGATGGTATTTCATTTCCTCCCTAATTCATATGTGAGTAAAATCTCTTTGGGTAAAAACCTTTGTAAGGAAGGTAGCGACGGTGGTCTGTAACAACGATTTCTTCTGTCTGGTTCCAACACCTTCCGGATTTCCTGTGATGAGCTGTCATAAAGGAAGGTGGGAGGAATCTATGTCTGGAAGATATATATTGTCGTAGAAAATGTTTTCTTATTGAGGACCCTCTACATCATAGTAAACATTGACTGAGAACTAACTACATGGAAAGAGAAATCCACTTTATGTAGTTATTACCCCCACCTGAGAAAAACATGGTCTTCCCCGCCTGATTTTTTTTAAACTTTTTATTGAAGAGGTACAATGAACAGCAAGCGGGGAAGCCCGATGTACACCTCACCCCTCCGCAACAAGCAGCAGTCACCAACCTTGTTGACTCCGCCTCTGTCCCCGCCCCATTCGTGGCCAGGGGGTGCTCAATATCACTCCAAGCTTGGCCCGGGTCAGGGCCAGTAAGGGCCCTCCTGCCTGGTCCCGCCTGGAGCTTTCCTCCTGAGGTCCCCTCTGCCTCCTCGCCCAGCCCTCGTCCACGCCCAGGCAGAGCATCCTCCCCTCCCTCCGTGGCTCGGCAGGGTGCTTGAGAACAGAAACCACGCGTAGTTTGTCATGAGTATAAAAATGGCTCCCAGAGATGCAGGTGGGGCTCTCGGGCGTTCCCAGCATTCAGACTGAGATCGGGGTCCCGGCATGCCCACCGCCCTACTCATTGATTATACCTGAGTCAGGGACTGGGGACATGGCAAGGTTTTTAATGGAAAGTCAAGCCATTAGCTCTTTTTCATCTAGATGTAAAACAGAGAAAGTAGGGCATCGTAGCCCCGTTTGCAAATGTTTCTAACCTAGAGGGGAAAAATATTTTCAGGGAAAGCAGTGACGTGTGTTCCTTTACAATTGGGCAAGTTATCAAAGATTACGGCTGCCAACTGTCCAGACTATCTCCGCCAGAGCCGGGAGCCCCTCAGTCACAGATGGACGGCTTGCTGACCCTGTAGCTGGGGTGGAAGTTGAGCCGGTCGTAGAAGGTGATGTAGTTGTCCGGACCCGTCACAATGCTCTTCTCCATGGAGACGTTGAAAGTATTGTTCTGGAACATTCCACCAGCTGCAACTTGTCTAGAAAATTTATACGAATTTGGATAAAATACCTTCTGGAAGTGAAAAGGGGACACTAGGGTTAGTGATACATGATAACACTCTTGAGCAATCAGTCATTAGGTATTTTGGGAAGAAAAATAAAAATTTGTAAGAAAATGTTTTTAAATTCTTATTTTGTAAGAAAATGTCGTCTCCAGTCCTAGGAAGCAGAGAAGCCAGGGTGGGCAGGATGGCTGGCCTAGTTGGCCCCAACCATCCCAATTTCTGCCTAATGTCAGGGAATAATGATTAATGGTGCCTCCTTTCACTATTACATGGATAGAAGAATCAATTATGGGGCCACCTGGGCAAGGCATTGCCACATCTGAATATGGTTACAAGGGGTCAGGCCCAAAGCTGTTCCCAGTTCAGCTTTTGCCAACTGTACAACTAGGGCAAGTTACTGGACCTCTCTGAACTTGAGTTTTCTCTTCCGTGGAAAAGAGAGAACATCAGTAGGTTTCCACCTTGATGGGGTATTAGAATCCCTTGTAGAGCTTTAAAACAATTCTGATGGCCATGCCCCCCCAGCCGAGGGGTCTGGGGAGGGGATGCCCTAGCGAGGTGGAGGTGCAGTGAGAACACAGATGAGGCCGCTGGTGTGTGCGGGCACCCAGGGGTAGGAGTCATTTCAGCAATACAGCATCCCCAGGTGACCTCGAGGTTTCTGACAGAAGTGGCCTGGACCACTAGCAGATAGTACACTTGGGACAGGTGGCCTGTTCTAGGCTCCCCTCGTGTCAAGTAGATCATTTGATGTTTTGTCTCCTTGGCAGGAAGCAAGTACCAAGAGAAACGGCCTTCAGTGCATTCTTTTGTTTGTTTTTTGTGGTTGTTGTTTTTGTTTTGTGCTTTGTTTTGTTTTGTTTCATTTTTGGCTACACCCTGCAGCTTGTGGGATCTTCGTTCCCCGACCAGGGATCAAACCCGTGCCCCCTGAAGTGGAAGTGCGGAGTCCTAACCACCGGGCTGCCAGGGGATTCCCAGTGCATTTTTAAATAGACTTTATTTTTTAGAGCAGCTTGGGGTCTACAGAGAAGCTGTGCAGAGTGAAGAGTTCCCGCATCGCCTCCCCGGCAGCACACACGGCTGACCTGCTGTTCACATCTCCCATCAGTGCATTTAGAACAACTGACACAATGGTGACGGGTCGTCATTAACTAAAGTCCACGCTGTACGTAGGGTCCACTTTTTGCATCGTACATGCTGGGTTTTGACAAATGAATAATGAATGACATGTATCCACCACTACAGTGCCATTAAGAATAGTTTCCATCAGTATATTTTCTAAAACCCAAAGAATGCATTTTTATTTTCTGTTCCCACGTGGGAAGGAAACACTGCGTGCCGCTGGTTGAGTCCCGCGGCCACACTCAGGTCAGGAAACTGGAAACCAGGTTCCAGATAAAGCAGGTCGATAAGCGGCAGGAAAAACTTCTAAACTTGCCTCCGGGGAACCTCAGTGCTTCACGTCCCACTGCTTCATAAGACCAGCAAATGGCCTTTTTTATAAAAGCAAAACATCTGGACCTATGTTTGTAAGTGTGTCGGTCTTTTTCGTGGAAATACCTGATCCCTTGATCCTGGGAGAATGACCTTTAAATGCTCTAGGAACTTTCTAGAGAAATAATCTTCTCACAAAAGCTCTATCCCCCATGAAAAACAGGTAAATAAGCAATTATCATGATCTTTTAACATGAATAATTTGGAAGAAAAACAACAACACTGCCAGCCCCAAAATGGGAGGCCCTCCTGTCTTGGGTACCCAGGAGATGCTTACACTGGTCCATCTGCCCTTCACCTGGACCCAGCAGGGGCATCAGGGGGTTCTAGGAGGCTCCCTGCCATGTGAGGTTGATCTCAAGGAGGGGTCAGGTTCCCCAAAAGTGCACAGATCCTGGGGCCCTTTTGTAACCTGTGCTTTCATCAGCCAGTGCTGTCTCTTAAGATCACAAGTTAAATATTTCATAAAATACGGTATTACTCCAAAAAGAAGGCAGTTCTTCATTTATCTGCCTCAAAACCTACTGCATTAGGTTACAAGAGTTGGCTGGTTGTACGAGTGAATGGGGCCAGCCCTTTGGGATGTTGTAAGGAAGACTACATGCCCTTTTTTCATCCTTTAAATCATTTCATTGCTAAACTCATTCGTTCATTTATTTCTACCCTGCCCTGTCCCAAAAGGAATTGAGGTGCACCCTCCCCCTTGGTGCTGTTGGAACTGCGGGCCTCTCTGCACCTCCCCCTCCTGATGTGTTGCTCTTTTGAGAAATCCGGAGTCTCAGCCTCCTCCTAGAGATGCCCCACCTGCGCACCTTTCTTTGCTTCCTCCTTACCGGCATCTCGTGCACGGTGGGTGCTCTGCTCCCATACGCTTGGTTGCTGGTCCTGTACACTGAGGGGGGCTCCTTGGTCCTAGCAGATGAGAAAAATACTTTCTTTTCCACTCATTTGTTTTAATTCTGCCCAAGCCACAGCTTTAACATATTTGGTTGGTGGAGCTTTGTTGGAAATGCCCCAGATGGGCGATGCAGCCGTGAACCTGGGCTCCTGTCGAGTGCAGGGTTGGCCTCCCTGGCAGGCTCAGCCTCCCTGACTCCCTCTGCTGACCTCTGCCAAAGCCCTAAAGAACTCCCAGGTGGCAAGTGCTGGCCCTCAGCCCCAGTGAGATCTGGGCCCATGCTATCATTTCCTGGGTGGGTGGGTAGGCTGGGAGCTGTGACTCAGCCTCCAGGCCTGCCACTCGCGGGGGCCAGCCCTTTGGGATGGGAGGGGATGCCCTCCCATAGCGGGGGGGGTCCCTCCACTAATGAGCCTCCAGGAGAAAATGTTCCTGCAGTCTCTAGTCCTGATGCTATTGGTACAGCAGTTTAACTAGTGGCTGTGGGCTCAGATACCCCAGCTCTGCCTCATACTAACTCTGGGATCTGTCTTTCTACAACCCAGATGTCCCTCCTGGGAAATGAAGATGCTAACAGAGCCAACTCTGTGGGATCGTGGAGGGACTAAGGGGGAGAGGGGGGAGCAGGGAAGGCACGCACAGCCTGCCCAGCTGTGTCTTAAGAGGCTGCAGCGCACTGGAACAGCTGGCAGGCCACGCCCCTCGGCAGCCTGGTGATGGAGGTGTCGCCATGCACCTCAGGCGGACGGGTCCTCTCTTCTAGAAAGGAGAGGAGACTGACCCCGCCCTAGAGGGTGCTGCTGGGATCAGCCGGAGTTGTGTGATTTCCCCTGGGCAAACCCCGCCCCACCTCGCTGGCGGGAGGCACACTCACTCCACCCGCGAGTCGCAAGCCGCAGGCAGCACCTCCGCGCTCATTTGGTGGTTAACAGCTGACCCCGCTTTTGACTTGGGGGCCGGGAGGGGGCCTGGGGGTTCTTGCACAACGGGCCATCTGCGCAGAGCGCAGGACCAGCTGGGCACCTGGCTGGCGGCTGGACCAGGAGCCCTTTCTTTCCTCTTCGTATGCCAGGTGGACCCTGACCGGACTCCCTGGTCCTCACCTGTAGCCCCGAAACCAAGCCGGGTTGTTGAACCTGGCCGGCAGGTCCTCGCTCACGCGGTAGTAGTCGCTGGTTTTCTCCGGCGGGGCCTTGGCCTTGGGCACCTCCTGCTCCGCGCATCCCTGGGGGTCCTCCTCGGACATCTCGCCTCGGTCCACCCGAGTTTCGGGGGAAAGAGCGAGCGGGCAGGAAACAGCTTCTCAGCCCTGGGGCCGTGAGGGGCCGCGCGGCGTCTTGTTGCTAAGCGACGGTCCGGTCACCTGACTGGGTGGGCGGGGCCCTTAAAGGCGCCGCGCCTCCTGGGCCGGAGGCCGCCCACCGCCGGCTTGTGGGGGCAGAAGTCCGAAGTTCTAGAACCTTCCGTGGCGAGCCACGAGGCCCTAGGCTAGCCGGGATAATAAGGCATTACTTCCTGGGGCCGCAGTGCCGGGTACCCTATGATCAGTAGCCTTCGGCGCCAACATTTTCCCAAATGCGGTGGGGGGCAGATTTCCAGGCAGATGAAACCCCGGGCCTGGGGCTTCATCGGCAAATTGCGGAGTTCAGGTTCTCTAAGGCCGCTCCGCTGTAACGCTCCGACGCTCACCGCGTGGGCCAGGGCTGCTCCTTGACCCCCACCCCCGACTTCAGGCTCCCCAGTACGTTGCACCTAAAATTAAGACTCCAGATTTGCCTAACTTTATGGAATCTTTCTAAGCCAAATGTTTAAAAATTAAAACACTTTTGGACAGCGGGAGGTTGTGCTGGACTGACCGCAGGTGAAGACGGTCCCCATCTCCCGGCGAGTTCCCGCGGGACGGCTGGGAACCTCCTCGGCCGCCGGGCACTGTGCAGGGAGGGGGCGAGGGGAGGAGTATCCAGACCCTGCGCTCGACAGGACCCGGGCTCCGGCCCGCCCCACGCTCCTTGCGGGTCCACGGTGCCCGGGCAGACCTGGGGCGCAAGGCCCAGCCTTCCCCAAGGACTGCGTGCTCCGACCCGGTGGGCAGGCGGGGGCCAAGGGGCGGGGACGCGTCCAGAGCTGGGGTGCCCGAGAGGCGGCGGGCGCTCAGTGGCATCCCCGGGCCTGCAGGTGGCGCTGCGGCGAAGGCGCGGGCCGCAGCCGGAAGGAGGAGCCGCTCGTGGGGCCGCGCCTGCACGTCTTCCGCGTCTGTCCGTCCGTCCGCCTACCGGAGTCCACGCCATGGTACCCGGCTCGGTCTTACCCCGGCTGCTCGGCGCAGGTAAGGCGCCCGGGACCCGGGGTGGGGGGCGCGGCAGGGACCCTCTTGCGGGCCGGGCGGCGGGAGGGAGGGAAGGAGGGAGGCGGGCGGGGGGCGCGCGCCACGAGTTTGCTGTCGCCGCAGGTGTCCGGCGCTGGCCGCTCCAGCTGCACCTCGTCCAGACGGCGACCCCGGGCCCGATGGGACCGAGCGGCAGGACGCTGGGGAGCGCCGTGGCCTCCGCGGCCCGGGAGCCCGAGCGCAGCAGCGGTAACGCCAGCCCTGCGGTCCTGGGGGTTTGAAATTGTCCCGCTGCTAGGAGTCCCGGGCGCTCTGGGTCTCCATGGGGACCCTGGAGGATGCGGGACTGGGGAGGGCGAAGGGCGGCCTTCCGCCCCTGGCAGCCCACGTGCTGGGCCGCACGAGCTTGCAGCCCTCCGAGCAGCCCCACCGCCGAGTAGGGCCGAGCCCCCCCCCCCCTCCACGAACCGCGGCCGGGGAGCTCCTGCGGGCGGCTGGCGGGACCACGGGGACCTCAGACACCACCCGGCGCCCCTTCTCTCCGAGTGAAGACTCGGCCACGTTTACCCAGGAGCGAAGCTGGGGTCAGATCTCGGCCTCCGCCCCGAGCCTCCAGAAAAGGCCCCTGGGGACCCTCAGCATCTGCTCTCCCACAGACCCCAGGCTTGGGAGCCGGGATCCAGACCCTGCATCCTCTCCCTCTCCCCGCCCCAGATCTGAACGAGAGGATCCTGAGCGAGCCCCTCAAGCACTTAGACTTCTTCAATGTCAAGGAATTGTTTTCTGTAAGAAGTCTCTTCGATGCCCGGGTGCACCTGGGACACAAAGCTGGCTGTCGGCACAGGTAGGTGACGCCCCTGGCGAGTGTAGGGGTGCCTGGGGGGCTCGGGACCCTTGCCTTGGGGTCCAGGGCTCCTTTTTCGGTTTGTTTGTTTTGTTTTGTTTTTTGGGTACGCGGGCCTCTCACTGTTGCGGCCTCTCCCATTGCGGAGCACAGGCTCCGGACGCGCAGGCCCAGCGGCCATGGCTCACGGGCCCAGCCGCTCCGCGGCATGTGGGATCTTCCCGGACCGGGGCACGAACCCGTGTCCCTTGCATCGGCAGGCGGACTCTCAACCACTGCGCCACCAGGGAAGCCCTCAGTTTGTTTTAAGAGCGTCTAGCTCCCTTTTCTTCCAGATGGGATCATTGAGCCCCAAGGAGGGGCAGCTGTTTATTCTCAGGCCCCGTTTGCTCCTCCCGACCCCCAGACCCCGCGGACCTTGCGGTGGGGCTCCTGGTCGTCGGTGGGGCCAGGCCCGCTGCTGCTGGTTCCCCGACAGACAGGCCATCCGGGAGGGCAGTGCTGGCAAGGCCGTCGGCATCTCGCGGAGGTGTCTCCAAGGGCACGCAGAGGAGTGGTGACTGGCCCAGTCTTTTCACGTGGCGATTTTGACGGCTGGGTTGGGCGTGTATTGGAGGAGCAGTTAGGCCAGGGAGGGAGGCGGTTGTAGATGTTCAGGGGAAAGGTGATGGGCCCAGCTGCGCCGGCAGAGCCGGAGCAGTGGTTGGATGTGGGGTGATGGGGGCAGAGCCGGAGGTCCAGCTGAGCAGAGCCCAGAGCAGGTGTCGACATCCTTCACATCAGGAACTTGGGTCCTATGAGGGTGACCCTTCAGCCACCCCAGTGGGGATGTCACGCAGGCACTAGGGAGAAGCAGCCTGGGCCGGGGGCCACCACATCAGGACCTTTTGAGAACATGTGGAGTGGGGGATGGAGGAGAGAGGAAGTCCCAGGTGGGAGCCCTGGGCAACCAGTGCCTCAGAGTCTGGGAAGAGGGGGCGGGGCCGGGGCATGGGAGGAGGGACGCCACTGTAGGTGCTGCGGAGAAGTCACCTGAGGTGAGGGCACGTGGGGCCTTGGGAAGGCTCTTCGGAGAGGAAGAGAGAGTCTCGGCGGGGGTGAGCAGAAGAGTGAATGGGGCGGGGGCTGCAAGAGGACGGTCTCGCAGCCCCGGCTCTCGGCCCAGGCCAGCGGGTCTGTGCCCTCAGGGTTCCCTCCGAGGCCTGGCTGCCTCCTGCTCCGGCATGTCACGCTTGCAGCCCGGGGCACCCCCTGCCGTTCTGGTCCCCCAGCCCCCCCAGAGGGTGGGGCTCAGTTGTAAAGCCTCAAAGGTGATGATAATGACAAGGACGGGAGCCAGACAAGCAGCACCGGGTGGGACGCTGTCCGGACGTCACGTTTAAGTGTCCAGATGTCCGTGTGGGTCCACTCTATTAGGCACCCCGCGCGGCCAGGTGGAGGTTCAGAGGGGTAAACCACTTGCCCGAGACATGGAGTGGCCTGCAGCCCAGCCTGCCCTGCTCGCCCACCCTCACCCTCCCACTGCCCGCGGCTGTCACTCCTGGGACAGCGTCCCCGCTGCCATCGTCATGGTGAGGGCTGCAGACTGTACCAGCCCTGGGCTTGCCGTGCCCCCCGTGCAGGGGCCCAGGGCTGGGGGAGCGCATGAGAAAGGGCGGGTGGAGGTGGCCACGTGGGGCTGGTTCACACTGGCCTTGGTGGGTGTCCGGCAGGTTCATGGAGCCGTATATCTTCGGGAGCCGCTTGGACCAGGACATCATTGACCTGGAACAGACGGCGACGCACCTGCAGCTGGCCTTGAATTTCACGGCCCATGTGGCCTATCGCGAGGGCATCATCCTGTTTGTGAGCCGCAGTCGGCAGTTCTCACACCTGATCGAGAACGTGGCCCGGGACTGCGGGGAATACGCCCATACCCGCTACTTCAAGGGCGGCCTGCTGACCAATGCGCCCCTCCTCCTGGGCCCCAGCGTCCGCCTGCCAGACCTCATCATCTTTCTGCACACGCTCAACAACGTCTTTGAGCCCCACATAGCCGTGAGGGACGCGGCCAAGATGAACATCCCCACCGTGGGCATCGTGGACACCAACTGCAACCCATCCCTCATCACGTACCCCGTCCCGGGCAATGACGACTCGCCCCCGGCCGTCCAGCTCTTCTGCAGGCTCTTCCAGACCACCATCAACCGGGCCAAAGAGAAGCGCAAGCAGGTCGAGGCCCTGTACCGACTGCAGGGCCAGGAGGGCGCCAAGGGCCGCGGCGCAGCCGACCCTCCTTCCCCGGGAGTGCAGGCCGAGCTGGACTTGGGTCATTCCCCTTGACCTGCCTGCTCTTCTCCCGAGTGAAACAGCAGCCGAGTCTGTTCTGAAGCTGGGACCCAACCCCCTGTACCCACACCCACCCCCGGCATGGTTCTTAGCACCTTCCCAGTTATTCCAGGCTTCGGGTCCCTGCTGCTAGGAACGCTTCTCAGCAGCTGCCCGCCCGGGGCTCCACTTCAGACCCGAGGACCCAGCAGGCTCGCTGGGCAAGTGGCCTGCCTGGAAAGGACCCGTCGGAAAACATCCCGTCCCTGGAGTCTGAAGTCCTTGTTTCTACCTCAAGATGAGTCCCTTGTATGTTAGGAAGGTTCTCACCAGCTTGACTTTTCTCAACCAGAATACCCCTAGGTTGGGCTGCTTCCCTGCTGCCTGGCTTCAGGGGCTGTTTTATAACGTGAGGTTGCAGGGTGAGCCACTAAGAAGATTCCATCCGGGTTGGGACAGGCTGGGCAAAGCAGACAGCGTGATTTCAACAGGAATAAAGCTTAGATTTGGGCGGAATGGGGACCTGGACCGTTGGTTCTGCAGCGTGGTCTGTGTGCTCTGTTTTCATCGGCACCCACGGGGCCCCTGGAGCACACGAGACACGTTCCTGCCCCCTGGGTCCTCAAGCTTCAGGGAGACAGGCAGGCATGTGCACGTGGGTTTGGATGGGATGGCACCGGCTGCCCCTCGACACCGTCTTCGGTGTTGAGGCTCGAGGCCCTCGTGTCCTGCCCATGCCCTGAACAGGCATCCTCCCCAGGTGGTCGGGTAAGATGGGACCCTGTTCACAGGAACTTTTGGATGCCCCCTCGTTTGTGGGACCTTCCTTGGCAACACTTGTGTTCCTGGGATGAGGTGTGGCCCCTGCTTTCCAGGACCCCACCCCATAGCTCCTGGTGTGCATGACCACCCCAGGACCCTGTCTGCCGCCGAGGGTCCAGGCAGCAGGGTCTGGTGGGGTCAGAACAGGATGGCCTCGTGTGGATGGATGCATCACGCCAGTCCACGTCCTACAGTAACACACGGGGGAAGGAAGACTGGTCCCACAGGCCCGCTCAGCATCTTTCAGGGGGGGCATGCGAGGTGGAGGTCCCTGATGTTTTCTGGAAGGGTTCACAGTTTGGAAGGGGCAAGGAGCTGAATGCCAGTTTGAAACCAACTGACAGGCATTGGTTTAATTTGCAAACATGAAGTATGGGCATGCAAATTCACAGGCAGGTAAATTGAGGGGTCCCCCCAAGACTTTCCCCCCACAAGACACCTCCCTCGGTGTGCGTGGGTGAGATTTCCCCAACTCCTCTGGAGATGGCCGGGCCTGTCGCTCGGCGCTCCAGGGAGGCCAGAGTGGGCAGCCAAGACCCTCGAGATCAGCACAGTGTGAGAAGGCTCAGTGGCCGTGGACGGGAGCTCTGGAATGTGAGCTGGGCCTCCCCAAGGCGGAGGGTCCACACCGCCCTTCAAAAGCAGGCCGTCTGGGGAGGGCAACACGGGCAGGGCAACGAGGGACACGCGAGGAGGCCCTGTTCTCTCGCCCTTGACTCGGGCTGGGTGGAGGGGAGCAGCCCTGGAGGGCAGGCACCCCCGAGCACCCCTACCCCACCCCATTCCCCAGGGTGGCCTGCCTGGCCCTGGCCATCCTCTGTCCCCTGAGGATCCCCCTGGAACCTGCACCAGACACAGGCCGGTGAAGACCAGCAGGGGCAATGAGAGTGCGTTTCGGTTCCTGGCTGTGCTGCCGGTCCTGGGGATGCTGGGAGCGGGGTGGACAGGGGTGGACAGGGGTGGCCGCACTGAGCAGGTGACTCGGCGGATGAGGGGACACAGACGAGCTGGGCGGTTTCAGGTACACGAGGACCTGAAGGGAGGCACAGGCTGACAGAGCCCAGAGCCCGGATGGGCCAGCCCGGGGGGGCACTTCCAGAGGGGCTCAGGTAAAAGGAGGGGGGGCAGAGCACGGGCTTTCACCCTAGTCGGGGGTCAGCCAGCCCCAACAGACATCACAGCAGGCACAGTAGATATGACAGCCTCACGGCCTCCTCTAGATACAGATGCATCCTCCCTGCAGGAGGGGACCTCCAAGTTTGCCAACCTGGAGATAAACACCGAGAGGCCAGAAGCCCCGAAGGCCTGGAGAGCAAGGGCCTGAGCCCTCCCCTCCTGCTGCCGCGGTGACGACTTGCCCATTAGCCCTGACCTTTCCTGGGGTCTGGCAGGGTCGTTCCCTGAGTGGTTGGCGTCCCAGGGGCCTGGAAGAGCCGGGTTCAGGGGGGGATTTGGGCCCAGGGTGGCTGAGGGCAGGTGCATCACACCACCAACTCGGGCCAGAACAGGCTCACGGTGAGTGTAGGCGTGCAGGGGTCTCTAGAATCGGGCCTGCAGGTGGCTGGGGCCAGATGCCACCTGGGGCCACTGCCCAGGGTCCAGCCCAGGACTTTGCCTCCAGTGGCCAGTCCCAACCCAAGGAGCTGGGCTCCTCCCTTCACCCACCAGTGCTCCCAGGCCTGGCCCTGGCCACGTGCAAAGCCAATTCTTTCTATACCGTTGCATCTCAACATATGAGCCTGAATATTCTCACACTGTTTTTTGACCTGTCCCTCCTTTGTCCGAAAATCAGCCCATGTATGAAAATGAGTCAGCCCTGAACCTGTATGAGACCTGCAAGGTGCGGACCGTGAAGGCAGGCACGCTGGAGAAGCTGGTGGAGCACCTGGTGCCCACCTTCCAGGGCAGCGACCTCTCCTATGTCACCATCTTCCCGTGCACCTACCAAGCCTTCACCACCACCCAGCGGGTCCTGGACCTGCTGTTGCAAAGGTGAGCGCCCCGCCCACCCACTGGCTGTGTGTCTTGGGAATGTCGCTTTACCTCTCTGAGCCTCAGTTTGCTCACGTGAAGGCCGGGCTGCCAGGACTGTCGGATAAGCATGGACAGTGCGACCCCGCGCCCGGCCCTGTGGAAAGGGCTGCTGAGGGCTGGGGCGGTTTTAATTAAGGTTTTCCTCTGCCCCATGGAGAAGCTCTCTGCTTCCAGCCGCTGGGCAGAACAGTTTTCCCATTTGTAAAGGAGGTTCCAGATTCTGTGTCAGGGGTCCTTCCTGGGAGTAGCCAGGGCAGGGCTGGCTGGGGGCCGGCTGAGGGCCCAGGCCCACTCAGGCGTCTGCAAGGTGCTGGTTGGGCTCATTCGTTCAGCAAATACATACGAAGCGCCTACTGTGTGCAGGCACTTTTCTAGGCACTTGGCTTTATTCAGTGAACAGTGCAGACAAAAATCCCCGCCCTCCCGGGCTTCCATCCTAGCCGGAGGGTCAGCCAGTAACACTAGACGTCATAGCAGGTACGGTAGATGTGACGCCCTCACGGCCTCCTCTAGATACGGGTGCATCCTCCCTTATTCCAGCGAGGACGGCGGACCTCAGGACCAACTGAAAAAGTGAGTAGACTTTGGGTCTGATGGGAGGGGCTGGGCAGAACCCTGGCTGCCACTCATCTTGTGATTCCCGCTGGAGGGCTGAGGTCTGGCTGCAGGAGGAAAGGAGTCAGAGAGCTGTGGCTGGGGTCCCATGTCCCCAGGGAGCAGAGGGGAGGCTGGGGGCTCAGAGCCGGCCCCTGAGAGCTTCCATCCCCTCAGATCCGGGGCCCACGACAGGAGGTGTGGGGGGCAAGCTGCTGACACGTCAGCCTCGCAGCCCAGTGTGAGTGCTCAGCTGGGGCTCACGGGAGCACAGTCAGGGTCAGGGGGCCGGCTACGTCCCCACCACCAAGAATGGCGTCCCTGGGAGGACGAGACCCGCACTCCGGCGCACAGACCAAGGCAGCCGTCGGTGCGCGAGCTTCCGGTTCAGGTGCGCGAGGCCCGTGAAGGCCGGGCAGGGGCGCACTCTGCTTGTCGCCTCCTCCCTCCCCTGTTTATGCAGCGCCTACTGTGTGCGGCCAGGCCAGCGCGATGGACAGAGCGGGCGCGGCCCTCCCTGCCCTCCTGCAGTTTCCTTCCCAGTGGAGAGGGCCCGGGGGGCTGGGGGCAGACAGGAGAGAGTCAGGCTCCCCCGAGGAAGGGAGAGGTGGTCACCAGGGACGGAGGGCCCCTTCCTACCAGGCCTGCCGACCAGGCCTGCCCCCGCCTGGCAGCCCAGTGCGGTGGGGCAGGGGCGGGCCCAGAAGCCCAGCCCCCATGGGGGAGCCAGGGGAGGGCCGCGTGGAAGGAAAGGCCAGGCCCCTGACTGCTTCCCACCCGCACGCCTGCCCCCAGTGCCGTCTCCTCCATCCTGGGCACCTGGCTGGACCAGTACTCCGAGGACTTCTGTCAGCCCCCGGACTTCCCATGCCTCAAGCAGCTGGTGGCCTACGTGCAGCTCAACATGCCCGGCTCCGACCTGGAGCGCCGCGCCCACCTTCTCCTGGCCCAGCTGGAGCGCACAGAGCTCACCAAGGCAGAGCCGGAGGGTGAGGAGCGGGGTCGGTGCTGGACACGCAGGAGCCCCCGGGGCTGCCTCGGACTGCCCACGTGGGGACCGCTGGCGGGGAGACGTCCTGTCTCAGATCCTGGCTGGAGCCTCTGTAAAAGGCCGCGGGCTGTTTCCTTTGCTTGCAAAGGCACGTGTGTGAGGCAGGCACGTGGATCTCCTCCTGCACCTTCACTGCCATCTCAGGATCTAGAGCTGGCTCGAGCACCAGCCCCTGTGCAATCTGAAGACCTAGATCCAGCTGCAGAAGCAGCAACAGAACTAAAGCCAGATCCAGAGCTGGAGGCGTTTCCATCAGTGGCTGGAGGGACACCTTGAGCGGCGGCACCGGAGTGGGAGCCAACATCACAATCAGTTGCATCAACACCTCTGCCTCCAGGGCCCGCGGCTGCACCTGCTCCGGAGGAGACCCAGAGCCGGCTCGGCACCCACTACCCCTGCGGGGAGAACGAGCTCTGGCGCCACGCTCAGCGTCAGCTCCTGACCCACTTCTACCCGCTCCCCCCACCCCCAAACTTCCCTTCCCCTCCCCTGTTACTGTTTCTGATTTGGTTTTTAATTTTATGTTTTCATTTCACATTATTTATGGTGTCTTTTACGTCTTCATATAACCAAGTTTAATTTTTTAAATTTGAAATTGTGCATTTCAGGAGCATCGAGTATATTCACAGTTCTGTGCAACCTTCCCCAGGGTCTCGGGCAGACTGTTTCACTCCCCAGAAGGAATCCCTGAGCCAGAGCGCTCATGCCCCATTCCTCTCTCCCCCAGCCCCCGACAACCTGTAATCTGCTTTCTGTCTCTGTGTCTTTACTTGTTCTAGATGTTTCCTATAAATGGAATTATACAAGGTGGCTTTCTGTGTAGGCCACATATTTTAAGAGGGGAGTAGTTAATTTTTGTTTTCTTTTTTTACTTCAAAATAGCATTTTTATTATATGAAAGGGAAATGCCAGATGGATTAAAGATGGGATGTACAAATTGAAGTCTTTTTTGTAAATATGTGTGCAGTCTCAGGGTAGAGACCCCTGTTCTGAGTATGGCCCCAGAGCCAGAAGACAGAAGGGAAACGGCTGGCTCTTCCCATGGCCAAACAGAAACAAGAAACATGTAGAAAGCTGGGAAGACAAACCGCAAACTGGAGCAGCCCTCCTCACACCCCAGGGCCAGAGAGAGGTTTGACACCCCTGTGGTCCCCCAGATCTTGAAAGTCAATGTTTTAAAAAGGGACAGAGAACACACATGTGCAGCTCCAACAAGAGGCCGCACACGTGGTCGGTACAGGTCAGAGACGCTTGACCTCCCGATGACACGCAGATGTAGACGCCGTGGAGACGGCGCTGTCAACACCACACCGACAGGTTTCTAGTCTGGCGGCGACCAGCCCTGGGGACAGTGTGAGGAAGCAGAGGCCCAGCAGGTCCCCTAGAGGGAAGCGTGGAAGGACACTCCTGTCTGGGAGAACAGTGCGCAGGACCCCAGAGCTCCACGGGTGCGACCCTTTACCTGCAGAGCTAATCCCAGGAGTTTACCCGCAGGAATTCTCGCGTGGTGTGTGTGCCCATGTGCACGTGTGTGCGTGTGCAGTTGTGGGTGTCAGGTGGGGAGGACTCTGGGCACGTGTGCCCTTCTGGAACCTGGTTCCCCCGGGCGGGTGCTGATCAGTCCATCGTCTTCCTCCTCCGCATTTTCTGGGGCCCCGAATCAGAATTTCTGAAAAGCCCCTGCTATGGGACATGGGCCATTTGCCATTTTTCACTCTCAGAATCATGCTGAAGGGAACATCTGTGTCCATAAATCTCTATTCAGGGCAGAATCCATGAGGTGGATTTTCTGGGTCAAAACATATACAGTTTTTAAGGTATTGGCCAGTTTCCAACAGAGCGGTCTCTGCCCACTTTGAGCCTCGCTTGGGAAAGCGGGGCCTCAGAGGACCCGAGGGCCGGGACCTCAGGGAGGGAGGAGGAGGAGGCCCTGGGAGTGACCTGCCCAGAAGGGACTGTCCCGCCCTCAGCCCCGCCCCCAGCCCCGCCCAGTCCTAGAGCGGGTACAGAGCTGGCTCTAGTTCAAAGGTGGCTCTGCTCCTAGGACTGGCACTGGAGCTTATGCAAGAGCTGATGCTGGACTTGGCTCTAGCTCTGGGGAAGGCGCTGGAGGCGGATCTACCTCCAGAGACGGTCTAGACCTGGTTCTGCAGTTGGACAGCGCTCTCGAGCTGTCTCTCACACTGGCTGGAGCCGGTGCTGCAGCTATTGCGGTCGCTGGCTCTGGCTCTGGCTCTGCAGCGGCCACTGAAGCTGACTCCTGGGTGGGTACTGGTTTGGCTTGAGCTGTGGATCAGGTACCTCCGGAGCTAAGGTTACAGCCCGTGCCGGAAGCAGCCGTGGATTTTGCTGTAGAGAGGACGCGGGAGCTGTCCCTGGTGCTGGAGCTCTCGCTGACTTTGCGGCTGACTCCAGCTCCGGTCTGGTGCTGGCTCTGCTTCTGGTGCCTCTAGCTGTACAGCCGGTCCCGGCTCTAGCTCTGTGGCTGGCGCTAAAACTGGCGGTGGAGCTGGCTGTGGCTCTGGACTGGTTCCACCTCTGGAACTGGTGTCAGGGCAGATTCTGGCGCCAGAGCAGGCACAGAGTCTGGCCTAGGAGCTGCTGACAGAGCTGCCTCTACCTCTGACGTGGCATCGTGCTGGTGCCAGAGCACGATCTAGCTCTGAAGTTGGTGCTGGGGCTGTGGCTCTTTCTCCTGAGCTGGCACTGGCTCTAAGTCTGCTACGGGCGCCCAAGCCAGCTCTTGCTCTGGAGCTGCTGCAGGAGCTGACTCTCATGGGGGCTCTGGCTCTGGAGTTGGTCCTAGAACTGTGGCTGGAGCAGGCTCTAGGTCTGAACTTGGTGCTGACTCTCTCTCTGGAGCTGGTGCCAGGAATGGCTGTAACTCTGGGGCTGATGCTAGAGCTGGCGCTGGAGCGACCTCTTCCTTGGCACCTAGCACTGGCTCTAAACTGGCTTTGAGCTGGTTCTCACTCTATCACTGGGGCTGGCACGGGAGTCAGTGATAGAGCTGTCTCCATCTTCCAGAGGTAGAGCTGACATGACGGCTGGTGTTCAAGCCAGCTCCAGCTCGTGGGATAACAGCAGCCCCGCCCAGGAGCAGCAATGGAGCTGAGGCTGGAGCTGCCTCTATCTCAGGAGTTGATGCCAGTGTTGGAGCCTGAGTTGACTGTCGCCATGGCGCTGGCTCGAGCTCTGGTGCTGGAGCTGACTCTGGCTCTGCAGCCAGCTCTGGCTCTAGTTCTGGAGAGCCAGAACTATTAGTGGTAATAGAACTGGCTCCGGCAATGGATCAGTGCTGAAGCGGGTGCTGGAACTGACACCGAGCCTGGAGCTTTGGCTGGAGCTGGCTCCAGATATCACTCGCGCTCTTGAGCTGGTGCTTGGAGCTGGCTCTCGCCCTGGAACGGGCAGTGGAGCTCTCTCTAGCTCGGGAGCTAATGCTCGAGCTAGCTCTGGTGCTGACATTAGCTCTAGAGAGAGCTCTACCTCTAGAGCTGCCTGTAGCTCTAGCTGTGCTGCCAGAGGTGGTGCTGGGGTAGACTCGAGTTCACTTCCTGTTGTTATCTGTCACTCTGGGCTTTGTGTTGGGTCGGATCCAAACTCTAGAGCTGCTGCTGGAGCTGGCAAATTGGTTGATGACAGAGCTGCTTCCATCCCTGCAGCTGGTGAGACAGCTGGTGCCAAAGCTGGTTCCAGCCCTGGAGCTGGTGCTGGAGCCAGTTGCGGAGCTCACTGGAGTTTGAGGGCTTTTCCATGAGCCAATGATGGAACTAGTTCTCTCACTGGACTTGACTCTAGATCTAGTGATAGAGCCGGCTCTCATTCTGCACCTGGCACTGGCTCTAAATCTGAAGGTGGCCCTGGAGCCAGCTCCAGCTCTGGGACGCTGCAGGAGCTGGTGATTGGAGCTGGCTCTGGCTCTGGAGCCGGTGCTACCTCTAGCTGTCAGGCTGGTACCAGAAACGCCTTTAACACCAGATCTGGCACTAGCACTGGTACAAGAGCTGGCACTGACCGTGGTGCCAGCTTGCGAGTTGGCAGTCGAGTTGGCACTGGTGCTGCAAGAGGACAAAAAGTTCACCAACCTCGTGACTGTAGACTGCGTGCACACACTTGTGCACGCATCAAATACATTTCTTTTCTTCCCTTCCTTTATCTTCTTACCGTATAGCATAACATAGACCATAAGATACACAAATAACTGTTACCCTCACATCACAGGGTTTAAGTTACAGGTCGTCAAGGAGAAAAGTAAGCATCACCCCAGCACTCTGCATGCCCTGGGGACAGTGCCCGCGTGTCTCATCAGGAGGGAGAACGACTCTCTTACTGTCTTCACTTAGAGACTCAACGTGGCTACAGCAGAGCTGTGGGTACCGAGTCAAAAGAAGGTGGGCCGTGACGGTTGGTCTCACGTGTCAACCTGCCCAGGCCATAGTGTGCAGTCATCCGATCAAACTGATGATTTAGTCCACACATGTTGTGAAGCTACTTATAGGTGTGGCTGACTTGCCTTTAAGTAAAGATCACTCAAAGGGTGGGTCTCATCACGTGAAGGCCTTACAAGCCTTCAAAAAACCGAGGTTTCCTGAAAAAGAAAGTCTGGCTCAAGACACAGCAGCTAAGGATAGCTTCAAGACGGCAGAGGAGTAAGACATGGAGATCACCTTCCGCCCCACAAATACATCAAAACTACATCTGTAGGAGTGGAACAACTCCTACAGAACACCTACTGAACGCTGGCAGAAGACCTCAGACCTCCCAAAAGGCAAGAAACTCCGCACGTACCTGGGTAGAGCAAAAGCAAAAACAGAGACAAAAGAATAGGGACGGGGCCTGCCCCTCTGGGAGGCAGCTGTGAAGGAGGAAAGGTTTCCACACACTGGGAAGCCCCTTCACTGGCGGAGATGGGGGTGGTGGGGGGGAAGCATCGGAGCCACGGAGGAGAGCACAGCAACAGAGGGCAGAGCGGAGAGACTCCCGCACAGAGGATCGGTGCCGACCGGCACCCACCAGCCCAGAGAGGCTTGTCTGCTCACCCGCTGGGGCGGGCGGGGCTGGGAGCTGAGGCTCGGGCTTCGGAGGTCAGACCCCAGGGAGAGGACTGGGGTTGGCTGCGTGAACACAGCCTGAAGGGGGCTAGTGCACCACGGCTAGCCGGGAGGGAGTCCGCGGAAAAGTCTGGAGCTGCCGAAGAGGCAAGAGACCACTGTTTTGGGGTGCGCAAGGAGAAGGGATTCAGAGCACCTCCTAAACGAGATCCAGTGACGGGCGCGAGCCGCAGCTATCAGCGCGGACCCCGGAGACGGGCATGAAACGCTAAGGCTGCTGCTGCCGCCACCAAGAAGCCTGTGTGCGAGCACAGGTCACTCTCCACACCCCCCTCCCGGGAGCCTGTGCGGCCCGCCACTGCCAGGGTCCCGTGATGCAGGGACAACTTCCCCGAGAGGGCACACAGCGCACCTCAGGCTGGTGCAACGTCATGCCGGCCTCTGCCGCCGCAGGCTCGCCCCGCATTCCGTTCCCCTCCCTCACCCCAGCCTGAGTGAGCCAGAGCCCCCGAATCAGCTGCTCCTTTAACCCCGTCCTGTCTGAGCGAAGAACAGATGCCCTCAGGCGACCTACATGCAGAGGCAGGGCCATATCCAAAGCTGAACCCCAGGGCTGTGCGAACAAAGAAGAGAAAGGAAATCTCTCCCAGCAGCCGCAGGAGCAGCGGATTAAATCTCCACAGACAAATTGATGTACCTGCATCTGTGGAATACCTGAATAGACAATGGATCACCCCAAAATTGAGGCGGTGGACTTCGGGAGCAACTGTAGACTTGGGGTTTGCTTTCTGCATCTAATTTGTTTTTTAAAAATATATATACTTTTTTTCCTTTTTCTCCTTTTGTGAGTGTGTATGCGTATGCTACTTTGTGTGATTGTCTGTATAGCTTTGCCTTTATCATTTGTCCTGGGGTTCTGTCTGTCCATTTTTTGTTTGTTTGTTTGTTTGTTTAGTATAGTTTTTAGTGCTTGTTATCATTGGTGGATTTGATTTTTGCTTTGGTTGCTCTCTCTTTTTTTTATTACTTTTTTATTTTTAATAATTTTTAAATTTTTTATTCTAATAACTTTATTTTATTTATTTTTCTTTCTTTCTTTCTTTCTTCTTTTTTCTCCCTTTTCTTCTGAGCCGGGTGGCTGATAGAGTCTTGGTGCTCCAGCCAGGTGTCAGGCCTGAGCCTCTGAGGTAGGAGAGCTGAGTTCAGGACATTGGTCCACCAGAGACCTCCCGGCTCCATGTAATAGCAAATGGCAAAAGCTCTCCCAGAGATCTCCCTCTCAACGCTAAGGCCCAGCTCCACTCAACGACCAGCAAGCTACACTGCTGGACACCCTATGCCAAACAACTAGCAAGACAGGAACACAACCCCACCCATTAGCAGAGAGGCTGCCTAAAATCATAATAAGTTCACGGACACCCCAAAACACATGACTGGACGCAGTCCTGCCCACCAGAAAGACAAGATCCAGACTCATCCACCAGAACACAGGCACCAGTCCCCTCTACCAGGAAGCCTACACAAACCCCTGAACCAACCTTACCCACTGGGGGCAGACATAAAAAACAACGGGAACTACGAACCTGCAGCCTGCAAAAAGGAGACCCTAAACACAGTAAGTTAAGCAAAATGAGAAGACAGACAAACACACAGCAGATGAAGGAGCAAGGTAAACACCCACCAGACCAAACAAATGAAGAGGAAATAGGCAGTCTACCTGAAAAAGAATTCAGAATAATGATAGTAAAGATGATCCAAGATCTTGGAAATAGAATGGAGAAAATACAAGAAATGTTTAACAAGGACCTAGAAGAACTAAAGAGCAAACAAACAATGATGAACAACACAATAAATGTAATGAAAAATTCTCTAGAAGGAATTAATAGCAGAACTGAGGCAGAAGAATGGATAAGTGACCTGGAAGATAAAATAGTGGAAATAACTACTGCAGAGCAGAATAAAGGAAAAAGAATGAAAAGAATTGAGGACAGTCTCAGAGACCTCTGGGACAACATTAAACGCACCAACATTCGAATTATAGGGGTCCCAGAAGAAGAAGAGAAAAAGAAAGCGAAAGAGAAAATATTTGAAGAGATTATAGTTGAAAACTTCCCGAATATGGGAAAGGAAATGGTCAATCAAGTCCGGCAAGCACAGAGAGTCCCATACAGGATAAATTCAAGGAGAAACATGCCAAGACATATATTAATCTAACTACCAAAAACTATATGCAAAGAAAAAATATTAAAAGCAACAAAAAACATACAAGGGAATCCCCATAAGGTTAACAGCTGATCTTTCAGCAGAAACTCTGCAAGCCAGAAGGGAGTGACAGGACATATTTAAAGTGATGAAAGAGAAAAACCTACAACCAAGATTACTCTGCCCAGCAAGGATCTCATTCAGATCTGATGGAGAAATTAAAACCTTTACAGACAAGCAAAAGCTAAGAGAATTCAGCACCACCAAAGGAGCTTTACAACAAATCCTAAAGGAACATCTCTAGGCAGCAAACACAGGAGAAGGAAAAGACCTACAATAACAAACCCAAAACAATTAAGAAAATGGTAATAGGAACATACATATCAATAACTACCTTAAATGTAAATGGATTAAATGCTCCAAGCAAAAGACATAGACTGGCTGAGTGGATACGAAAACAAGACCCGTATATATGCTGTCTACAAGAGACCCACTTCAGACCTAGGGACACATACAGACTGAAAGTGAGGTGATGGAAAAAGATGTTCCATGCAAATGGAAATCAAAAGAAAGCTACAGTAGCAATTCTCATATCAGACAAAATAGACTTTAAACAAAGACTATTATAAGAGACAAAGAAGGACACTACATAATGATCAAGGGATCAATCCAAGAAGAAGATATAACAATTGTAAATATTTATGCACCCAATATAGGAGCACCTCAATACTTAAGGCAAATGTTAACAGCCATAAAAGGAAAAATTGACAGTAACACAATCATAGTAGGGGACTTTAACACCCCACTTTCACCAATGGACAGATCATCCAAAATGAAAATAAATAAGGAAACACAAGCTTTAAATGATACATTAAACATGATGGACTTAATTGATATTTATAGGACATTCCATCCAAAAACAACAAAATACACCTTCTTCTCTAGTGCTCATGGAATATTCTCCAGGATAGATCATGTCTTGGGTCACAAATCAAGCCTTGGTAAATTTAAGAAAATTGAAATCGTATCAAGTATCTTTTCTGACCACAACGCTATGAGACTATATATCAATCACAGGAAAAAATCTGTAAAAAATACAAACACATGGAGGCTAAACAATACACTACTAAATAACCAAGAGATCACTGAAGAAATCAAAGAGGAAATCAAAAAATACCTAGAAACAAATGACAATAAAAACACGATGACCTAAAACCTATAGGATGCAGCAAAAGCAGGTCAAAGAGGGAAGTTTATAGCAATACAATCCTACCTCAAGCAACAAGAAACCTCTCAAATAAACAACCTAACCTTACACCTAAAGCAATTAGAGAAAGAAGAACAAAAAAACCCCAAAGTTAGCAGAAGGAAAGAAATCATAAAGATCAGATCAGAAATAAATGAAAAAGAAATGAAGGAAAAATAGCTAGGATCAATAAAACTAAAATCTGGTTCTTTGAGAAGATAAACAAAATTGATAAACCACTAGCCAGATTCATCATGAAAAAAAGGGAGAAGACTCAAATCAATAGAAATGGAAATGAAAAAGGAGAAGTAACAACTGACACTGCAGAAATACAAAGGATCATGAAAGATTACTACAAGCAACTATATGCCAATAAAATGGACAACCTGGAAGAAATGGACAAATTCTTAGAAAAGCACAACCTCCCGAGACTGAACCAGAAAGAAATAGAAAATATAAACAGACCAATCACAAGCACTGAAATTGAAACTGTGATTAAAAATCTTCCAACAAACAAAAGTCCAGGACCAGATGGATTCACAGGCGAAGTATCAAACATTTAGAGGAGAGCTAACACCTATCCTTCTCAAACTCTTCCAAATATAGCAGAGAGAGGAACACTCTCAAACTCATTCTACGAGGCCACCATCACCCAAAACCAGACAAAGGTGTCACAAAAAAAGAAAACTACAGACCGATATCACTGATGAACATAAATGAACATAAATGTTCTCAACAAAATACTAGCAAACAGAATACAACAGCACATTAAAAGGGTCATATACCATGATCAAGTGGGGTTTATCCCAGGAATTCAAGGATTCTTCAATATACACAAATCAATCAATGTGATACACCATATTAACAAATTGAAGGAGAAAACCCATATGATCATCTCAATAGATGCAGAAAAAGCTTTCGACAAAATTCAACACCGATTTATGATAAAAACTTTCCAGAAAGTAGGCACAGAGGGAACTTACTTCAATATAATAAAGTCCATATTTGACAAAACCACAATCAACATTGTTCTCAATGATGAAAACCTGAAACCATTTCAGGATCAGGAACTAAGACAGGAACAAGACAAGGTTGCCCACTCTCACCACTATTATTCAACATAGTTTTGGAAGTTTTAGCCACAGCAATCAGAGAAGAAAAGGAAATAAAAGGAATCCAAATCGGAAAAGAAGAAGTAAAACTGTCACTGTTTGCAGATGACATGACACTATACCTAGAGAATCCCAAAGATGCTACCAGAAAACTACTAGAGCTAATCAATGAACTTGGTAAAGTACCAGGATATAAAATTAATGCACAGAAATCTCTTGCATTCCTATACACTAATGATGAAAAATCTGAAAGAGAAATTAAGGACACATTCCCATTTACCATTGCAACAAAAAGAATAAAATACTTAGGAATAAACCTACCTAAGGAGACAAAAAGACCTGTATGCAGAAAACTATAAGATACTGATGAAAGAAATTAAAGATGATACAAATAGATGGAGAGACATACCATGTTCTTAGATCAGAAGAATCAACATTGTGAAAATGACTATACTACCCAAAGCAACCTACAAATTCAATGCAATACCTATCAAACTACCACTGGCATTTTTCACAGAACTAGAACAAAAAATTTCACAATTTGTATGGAAACACAAAAGACCCTGAATAGCCAAAGCAATCTTGAGAAAGAAAAACGGAGCTGGAGGAATCAGGCTCCTGGACTTCAGACTATACTACAAAGCTACAGTAATCAAGACAGTATGGTACTGGCACAAAAACAGAAATATAGATCAATGGAACAGGAGAGAAAGCCCAGAGATAAACCCACACACATATGGTCACCTTATCTTTGATAAAGGAGGCAAGAATATACAACGGAGAAAAGACAGCCTCTTCAATAAATGGAACTGGGAAAACTGGACAGCTACATGTAAAAGAATGAAATTAGAACACTCCCTTACACCATACACAAAAATAGACTCAAAATGGATTAAAGACCTAAATGTAAGGCCAGACACCATCAAACTCTTAGAGGAAAACATAGGCAGAATACTCAATGACATACATCACAGCAAGATCCTTTTTGACCCACCTCCTATAGTAATGGAAATAAAAACAAAAATAAACAAATGGGACCTAATGAAACTTAAAAGCTTTTGCACAGCAAAGGAAACCATAAACAAGACGAAAACACAACCCTCAGAATGGGAGAAAATATTTGCAAATGAAGCAACAGACAAAGGATTAATCTCCAAAATATACAGGCAGCTCATGCAGCTCAATATCAAAAAAACAAACAACCCAACCCAAAACTGGGCAGAAGACCTAAATAGACATTTCTCCAAAGAAGATATACAGACTGGCAACAAACACATGAAAGGATGCTCAACATCACTAATCATTAGAGAAATGCAAATCAAAACTACAGTGAGGTATCACCTCACACCAGTCAGAATGGCCATCATCAAAAAATCTACAAACAATAAATGCTGGAGAGGGTGTGGAGAAAAGGGAACCCTCTTGCACTGTTGGTGGGAATGTAAATTGATGCAGCCACTATGGAGAATAGTATGGAGGTTCCTTAAAAAAATAAAAATAGAACTACCATATGACCCAGCAATCCCATTACTGGGCATATACCCTGAGAAAACCATAAATCAAAAAGGGTCATGTACCACAATGTTCATTGCAGCTCTATTTACAATAGCCAGGACATGGAAGCAACCTAAGTGTCCATTGAGAGATGAATGGATAAGGAAGATGTGGCACATATATACAATAGAATATTACTCAGCCATAAAAAGAAACGAAATTGAACTATTTGTCGTGAGGTGGATGGACCTAGAGACTGTCATACAGAGTGAAGTAAGTCAGAAAGAGAAAAACAAATACCGTACACTAACACGTATATATGGAATCTAAAAAAAAAAAAAAAATGGTTTTAAAGAACCTAGGGACAGAACAGGAATAAAGACGCAGACGTAGAGAATGGACTTGAGGACACAGGGAGAGGGAACGGTAAGCTGGGACAAAGTGAGAGAGTGGCATGGACATATATACACTATCAAATGTAAAACAGATAGCTAGTGGGAAGCAGCCACATAGCACAGGGAGATCAGCTCGGTGCTTTGTGACCACCTAGAGGGGTGGGATAGGGAAGATGGGAGGGAGACAAGAGGGAGGAGATATGGGGATATATGTATATGTATAGCTGATTCACTTTGTTATACAGCAGAAACTAACACACCATTGTAAAGCAATTATACTCCAATAAAGATGTTAAAAATAAACAAACAAATTAATTAATTAATTAATTTAATTAAATACTCTACGGGGGGAGGGGGGGGAAGAAGACACAGCATCTAGAAGCCCGCTGGAGTGTCCAGTCCCGCAGGCTTTGGACATGCCAGCCCCCTTGCTCACATGAGCCCACATGTTAAAATCAATTCTCTCTGTATATACACACAACATATACACATGTGCGTGTGTGTCTACACGCACATGTGTATAAGTCGTGTGTGTGTGTGTGTACCCGGGTGTATCCTGGTGGAGGGCCCTGACTTGCCTCTGTCCTTCCTGCTTCCCCTTTACAATCACTGTTACCTGAGGCCTTAGACTCAGTGCCCGGTGGTATGCAAGCCTGGTGCTTCCTTCTGAGCTCTGCCAGAGCTGCCCGGGGTTCCGAGAAAAGCCTGGCTGACACTGTCCTGGCTAAAGACACACAGAAGACCCCCAGAGCCCTCTCACCTGTAACAATCCAGAACGTGGTCAGAGAGCTTACACTCATGAGGCTGGCCAACAACACGGTCAGCATGCAGACTCCTGGAACAGAGAGGCGGACATATAAGGCCTCAGAAAAATAAACTAGAAACAGGATTTTCTGAATGCAGAATTCCACAACAGGAAGGTCTGCACAGAATACGTTATCATCCCTTCAATACATGTCTTGGGGAAGTCGTCTTTTGCCTATTCATTGTTACCTTTTAGCGCACAACTTAATACATGCTATTTCGTGCACAATCCTCTCCTCTGATGCTAAATATTTTCACTCTACGGTCTGCAAAGAGAAGAGGCAATCGTGGCGTATGCAAGAAAGAGGGAGCCACCACCCCTGGAAATCATCTTTAATATTTGAATTTCTAGCTGTCATTTGTTTGGGGTGTCCAATAGTCTGGTCCACCCCCAGTTACACAGCAGCCAGGGCAAGGATAACAGGATGAAGACGGCTACACTAATCATTTAACCATCTTGCAGTGAGTGTTTAATATTTGGATTCTGATTTGCTTCCAGGGAGGTTGTGTGTGTTTGGCGAGGGAGAAACACAGAGGAAGAGGGGGAGGCAGATGATTTCATGGCTTAAAAGCTGCTGTACAAGCTTTTCCCACTAAGTGCAGAAAAACATTGGACAAAACCCAACATCCTTTCATGAGAAAAACACTCAAGAAACTAGAAACAGAAGGGCACTTCCTGAGCCTGATATAGGGCATCTGGGAACAATCCACAGCTCACGTCACACTTAGTGGGGAAAGACTGAAGCCTCCCCCGAGATCGGGAACAAGATGCGCAGTGACCAGTCTTGCCAGCTCAGTGCCACATTTCACTGGAGGTCCACCAGGCAAGAAAACGAAATAAAAGGCATCTAGACTGAAGGGGATGAAGTAAAACTATCTCCATTTGCAAATTACATGACCACGTATATAGGAAATCACAGAGAATACGGGGGGAAACTATTAGAACTAATAAACAAGTTCAGCAAGGTTGCAGGATACAAGATAAGTACCACAAAAATCAGTTGTATGGGAATGTCAATTGGTGCAGCCACAATGGAAAACAGTATGGAAGTTCCTCAAAAAATTAAAAATAGAACTACTACTATGTGATCCTGCCATCCCACTTCTGGGTATTTACCCAAAGGAAATGAAACAAAAAGATACATGCACCCCAATGTTCATTGCAGCACTATTTACAGTAGCCAAGATAAGGAAGCGGCCTGAGCATCTATTGATGGATGCATGGACAGAGAAGATGTGGTGTGTATATAACGGAATATTATTTACCCATAAAAGAAGGAAATCCTTGCAATAATATGGATGGACCTTGAAGGTATCACGCTAAGTGAAACAAGTCAGACAGAGAAAGACAAATACCATAGGATCTCATTTATACGCGGAATCTTAAAGAAAAAAAATAGGGGCTCATAGATACAGAGAACGGATTGGTAGTTACCAGAGGTAGGGAGTAAATGGGGGCAAAATGAATGAATAGGGTCAAAACGTACAAACTCCCAGTTATAAAATAAAGAAGTCCTGGGGATGTAGTGTGCAGAATGGTGACTAGAGTTAAGAATACTGTGTTGAATATTTGAACGTTGCTAGGAGAGTGGTTCTTGAAAGTCCTCAGCAGAAGGAAAAAAATCTGTGCAACTATGTGAGGTGGTGAATGTTAACTAGATTTACTGTGGTGACCATTGGGCAACATATACAAATATCAAATCATTATCTTATACACCTGAAACTAATATACTCTTATATGTCAATTTAAAAATCGATTGTATTTCTAAAACTAACGCCGAAAAATCTGACAATGAATGTAAGAAAACAAGTGAATTGACGATAGCATCCAAAAGAATAAAATACGCAGAAATAAATTTAGGATCAAAAATATAAGACTTAGGGGCTTCCCTGGTGGCGCAGGGGTTGAGAGTCCGCCTGCCGATGCAGGGGACACGGGTTCGTGCCCCGGTCTGGGAGGATCCCACGTGCCGCGGAGCGGCTGGGCCCGTGGGCCATGGCCGCTGAGCCTGTGCGTCCGGAGCCTGTGCTCCGCAACGAGAGAGGCCACAATGGTGAGAGGCCCGCGTACCGCAAAAAAAAAATAATAATAAAACTAAGACTTATACAATGAAAGCTACAAAACATTATTGAAAGCAATTAAAGAAGGCTGAAATTAATGGAAAGATATCCCACATTCATGGATCAAAAGACTTTATACTATTAAGATAGTGGGCTTCCCTGGTGGCGCAGTGGTTGAGAGTCCGCCTGCCGATGCAGGGGACACGGGTTCGTGTCCCGGTCCGGGAAGATCCCACATGCGGCAGAGCGGCTGTGCCCGTGAGCCATGGCCGCTGAGCCTGCGCGTCCGGAGCCTGTGCTCCGCAACGGGAGAGGCCACAACAGTGAGAGGCCCGCGTACCGCAAAAAAAAAAAAAAAAAAAGATGGCAATACTTCCCAAATGGAACTACGGATTCATTTGGAAATGCAAGGGATCCAGAATCGCCAAAACAATACGGAAAAAGCAGAGCAAAAGTGGAGGACGCATACTTCCTGATTTCAAAACTCGTTACAAAGCTACAGTAATGAAGACAGTGTGGTCCTGGCATAAAGATAGACATAACAAATCAATGGAATAGAATTGAGAGTCCATAAACAAACCTTCGCATCTGTAGTCAATTGATTTTTGATGAGCAACCAGACAATTCACTGGGGAAAGAATAAATTTTTTCAATAAATGGTATTGGGACAACTGGATATTCACACGCAAAGGAAGAAGTTGGACTCTTCCTCACAGCCCTCACGGTGGATGAGGGCTTGCCCAAGAGCTGCGAGGAGGCTGCTGGGGCCAGGCTGCTAGATGACCCTAGAGCCTGCCTGGCTCAGAGCAGCTGGCTGGGTGAGGTCACTGCCTGGTGAGACCCTGGGACGAAGGTTCAGTCATCCTCCAGCTGCATCTGTACAAGAACCTCTGACCTGGGGACTACAGTTCCCCCTTGTTCTAAGTGGGAAACTGAGATGCCAAGATCCCTCCTGGCCTGTAAGTTGCAGCCCTGGGGTTAAAGCCAGATCCCTCTGGTCCAAAGGCACAAGGCTTCCCCTCCCCTGCATCCCCTTTCCCTTAATGGGCTCTGCCTCCTCTTGGGAAATGGAGCCCTGAGCAGGGATGTCAGAGGCCCTCCCCCACACAGGCTGTGGCCTGTTCCCTGGCCTATCCCCATCTGGAACACACTTCACCACTTCACATCTGAAACAGTGTATACACACACATACACACACACACACTCAGAGGCCATGAAACACTGACTCATCCTGGGAGGGCTACCCTCCAATGTTTTCGATTTTACTTAAAGTCCCAGCTATCCCACTAACTCGGGCATAGCCCACTAAGCAGTGGTGAGGGCAGTGGGGACCTCTGTCTGAGTGTTCCCACTGCCAGGACACCAGATTCCCCCTGCCAGCCCCTGGGGGTGTCCCCTGCAGGGCTCTCAGAGACAGGCACAGATGACCATCGATGCATATGAGCAATTTATACGTGTCTCTAGCTGTTTCCTCTGGTTTCTAGAAGTAGATAAACTTAGCTGAAGGGGAGGGTATCAGGGTCCTATTGCCGAGTCACCCTCCAAGAGGAGAGTCCAGGGACCTTTTAACTTCCTTCATCTCTTCACCCAGCTCCTCCCAGACCAGCCCTGATGCTGTCCTTAGGCTGAATTTGTCCTCTCCTGAGGGGAGGGGGGACAGGGAAAACAGGGAATGCTGGTTTGGCCAGGGGCTGGGTGTTGCCTGTTGACAGAATACTGGTGTGTCTGCCAGGACCCCAGGGCTGGGTCTGCCCCTGCGCACAGCATGTGGGATCTTAGTTCCCAGACCAGGGATTGAACCCATGCCCCCTGCAGTGGAAGCACAGAGTCTTAACCACTGGACCACCAGGGAAGTCCCTGGCTCACCTCTTTATTACCAGGGAGGGACCAGTGTCCGGAAGGTACACCAGAGAACTTTGTAAAAACACAAACTGAATGAGAAAAACCAATCAGTTGGTCCCAGACCAGGTCCCAGGGAACCAGGTGTTTGCAGCTAAAAATGGAAGCACGACCTTTCAGCCAGCAGTCACAAGCTCCCCGGGCCTGTGCCTGGCCCCTGCAGACTCTGGGAAAAAAAACCCTGCCTTACAGGAACCTGAGGTCCTCAAGGGAAATCCCAAGGACACAGGCAATGACACCCACAAAGGACCTGGGAGGCTGTGCCCATGCACCAGGCAGATCTGCATTTGCAACTTTAAGCTGCATCATTGTGACCTTGAACAAAGCTATAACCTCTCTGAGCCTTGATTGTTGTTTTGTCTCCCATGCTGCTTCTCTGCACAGATCTTCCTCGACTTACAGTGGGGTTACATCCTGATAAACCCATCCTAAGGTGAGAACATACTGAACACCATAGCTTAGCCTAACCTACCTTAAACTTGCTCAGAAGACGTACGTTAGCTGGTAGTTTATATTATAATAGAGCTGAACATCTCATGTAATTTACTGAATACTATACTGAAAGTGAAAAACAGAATGGCTGTCAGGGTACAGAATGGTCAAAAGTGTATCCTTGTTGAGCCTGGTGATGGAGTGGCTGACAGAGTTGCCACCACGCTGCCCAGCATCACGAGAATATCTCACCGCATAATCCGTAGCCAGCCGGGGAAAGATCAAAATTTACAATCCGAATCGCGGTTTCTACTGAATGCCTATAGCTTTCGCCTCATCCTAATTGTATCGGGTTTCTCCCCGGCCCTGTTACCGTTCCCTTATTTACCATGAGGGGGCCTTCCTTTTTGTCCCTCTGAATGCCCCCTCCGTCGCCACGCCTCTACCACCACCCTCTGCGCTTGGCCTACACTTGGAGACATATAAGACGGTCCCCCTGGGGCTCCTGGAGTCCCTAGGATGAACCAGGGTCAATACAACTCGGACAGGCCTTGGTAAGAAAGTATGGCCAACTCCCTTCACAGAAGAGGAAAAACAGAGGCTCCGAGGGATTCCGGCAGCCGCTCACGGTCTCCAGGCCGGCGTGCCAGCCTCAGGGGCCCTGAGCAAAAGAGTGATGATCCTAACCCGGAAAGTAAGTACGACGTCCAGCTGGTTTCCCATCCGGTGATTGCTTCGAGGCTCTTCTAGAAACAATAAAGTTTTTCCCTCAAATCGTTTCCCTGATTTCTCAAGCCCGCACCCCAGCCCGGAGTTCCCTGACCTGCGCTCCTCGCCTGGAAGGTGGGTCGCCTGCGTCGGAGGCCACGGCCAGGTAGCCAGCAGAGGTTAAAAGTCCTGGGACCCCGGCGCTCGTGGACCCCTGGGGACTGGGGGCGGCAGCTGGTGGGCGGGGCGGGGCGGGCGGGTGAGTAGGAGGAGCAGCGGTAGGTGGGCGGGGCACGCAGGGGGGTAGGTGGGGCTGAGGCCGGTGGGCGGGGCGCGCGGCTCCTTTCCCCTCCCCCGAGCCCCGCCCGGCCCCGATCCCGGCGGGCCCTTAGTCAGGCCCCACCCAGCGCGCTACTAAAGGCACCCGGCAGGCCCTGGGTTTTGCCGGACTGCAGGCGAACGGAGACCCTGTTTTCAGGGCCGGGCTGCGCCCCTCCGTCTGTTCTAACACTGGTCCGGCCGCAAGGGGCTGAGTCTGCAGTCCGCAGGGACAGTCACGCTCCCGCGCCGCTCCCTGTCCCCGCCCCGCGCCCGGCCGGAGGAGCAGCGCCGCGAGCCCGGAGCCTGGAGTGGCCGGCCGAAGTCGAGGTGCGCGTCTCAGACCCAAGCTCCTGGGTGCAGATCCCCGGCTGGGGCGGCCGAAGCTCGGGCCTGGTTCTGCGTCGGCGGAGCGGCGCCGGCGGCCCGGGCCCCACCGGAGGAAGAATCCAGCGGAGCCGACGGTCGACGCGGAGCTTTGGAGGACGCCGCGCCCCAAGCCCGGGTGGGGAAACGGAGGTCCGCAGAGGGAGGGAGAGGGAGAGGGAGCGGGCCTGCCAGAGGCCACCGGGTGAGCCGGGGCCAAAGCCCCAAAACTCCGGCCCGGGGATCTTTATCTGACCTCGGGCGGACCCCCGCAGAGCTGTCAGGCGTCCCGCGCTCTCTGTGACCCGGGCCGGACCCAGCGCTTTAGAGCCCTTCCCGCACATCAGGGGCGGTGCGGATTGCGTCTTGCCACCTCACCAAGCCCCCTATAGCTGAGGAGGACGCCGAGGCTGTGGTGGAGCGGGCAGGAGAGCGCCTTGCCCAGGGTTACCGCCGAGAGCGGGTAAGAGCTGAAGCGCGTTCCCGCGGTCCCGGGAGAGCCCAGGCCCCCTCTCCCGGAGGAATGCGCTGCTACCACTACTGCCCCCCCCCCCCTCCCGGGGGATCTATGCCGCCCCCCCCCGCGCCCCCCCCCCCCACCCCAGGCCGAGTGTGTCCCCGCGGTGCGGGCTCTGGGCTTGATTTCCGGCGTCCTCCCAGTTTCCCCAGGAATCCTTCTCCAAGCCCCGCCCCCCCAAGCGCTGTTCCCCTAGTCCCTAGGATGGCCGCCCTTAGCTTATCACAGAAGGAGGTCAGCAGGGAGACCTGAGAGACAAGGCAGGGAGCCAGGCGCCTTTCCGGCCCAGGGCCTTTTGCAAGGCACCGCAGCAGGCTTTGGCTGAGTCCTGAGCCTCTGTCCTTCAGAACTTCCAGACCTGGGCCTGGGCCCAGCAGGAGGAGGAGACAGCTGGAATCCACATTCCCCGGGTGAGGCCGCCCAGGGGAGGGCAGGGCAGCAAAAATGGGGCCACTGTCCTGTGGGTAAGGAGCATTCCTTTGCAGGTGTTCCCCGGACCCCGGAGACACAGACTCCGAGCCCGACACCTCTGAGAGAGGTGGGCTGATTCACCAAGGCACACCCAGACTCTGCAGGTACCCAGGCTCAGATGCTGCCCACCCGGCGATGCACTGCCCCAGACTAGCCCTGGGCCTGGGGTTCTGCCTGCTGGTGGGCATGGCCCTCTGCTCTCTGTGGTGAGCATACCCCATGGAGCCCTCCCTCCCTACCCCAGACCCCTCCGTCTCTCAGCATCTCAACCCCCAAACCTTGACCCCTTCACAGGATTCCCAGGTCCCACCCCCTTCTCTCGGTGCACCTGTCCCTTCACCCCAGCCCCAGTAAGACTGAACTAGCCTGGCTTATGTATTTTGCTTTGCACTGGCCTGGCCTTCGCACTTGCTCTTTCCTCTGCCTGGACTGTTCTTCTAGCCATGTTAATGTTTATGCTCCAGAATTCACCCTATGTGTTCTTCCCACAAAGCTCTGGGGGCCGCCCCCAACCACCAGCCCCCTGTGTGCAGGGCCTGGCATCAAGAGCATTCCTGTCCCAGGAATGAACGGCTGCACGGCTAATGACTCATTGAGGCTAATGACTCATTGCGGAAAACCAGGAGGCTTTGTCCTCCGAGGTCAGCCAGACCCAAGGAATGATTGGGCGGGGGCGGGGGGAGGGGAGGTGTATCCCAGGTGCACCACGCGGGGCCTGCATTCCCACTGACATGCAGCAAAGTGAGTTTTCAGCCTCACGTGCAAAGTCAGGTCAACAGATGTATTTCCTTCCCAGGGTGTATGTCGAGAACTGGCTGCCGGTCTCCTATGTCCCCTATTATCTCCCCTGCCCAGAGATCTTGTAAGTATGGGCCAGGGCGAATTGGGGGCCCCCGGAGTGGAGGGGGTGAGCGGGTTTTTAAGGTCACTTTGGAGGTTCTTAGGTCCTAAGCTCATGATTCTGAGCAGTTTGATGAGCTGCCACAGGTGTGGAGTGAAATTCCCCCGTTTCAGTCCTTGGGTGTCCTTGCAGTGCCCCCTCCACAGTTGTGACCTTGAGCATGTTGCAAAGCTCTGAGCCTCACTTGCTGTATCTGTAAAATGGGATGATAGCGGTGCCCCTCCCGAGCCAGCCAGAGCATGGGGTACTGTAATGATGCCTGTAAATATCCTGGTGTTGCACCTGGCACGTAGGAGGTGCTCAGGAAAGAGTGCTTTCAGGACTTGACTTCTTTTTCTTTTTTTAATACATTTGTTTATTTTATTTTATTTTTTATTTTTGGCTGCATTGGGTCTTCTTAGCTGCACACGGGCTTTCTCTAGTTGTGGCGACCGGGGCCACTCTTCGTTGAGACGCGCGGGCTTCTCATTGCGGTGGCTTCTCTTGTTGCGGAGCATGGTCTCTAGGTACGCGGGCTTCAGTAGTTGTGGCATGTGGGCTCAGTAGTTGTGGCTCGCAGTCTTAGTTGCTCCGCGGCCTGTGGGATCTCCCTGGACCAGGGATCGAACCCTTGTCCCCTGCATTGGCAGGCAGATTCTTAACCACTGCGCCACCTGGGAAGTCCAGGACTTGACATTTTGCGCAATTTTGTGTTCTCTGTGGCTTCAAAGAAGAAATGGACACGTGACCAGTCTCCCCCACATAACAAATCTGACATTTTGTCAGTTAAGAGTGAAAAAGATTTGGTTATAGATGAACCTAGAACTTGAAATGATTCCTACTGATTGCGTCACTTTTTATATCCGATATCAAACGTATCTCAGACTTGCCAAGATGGGATGGAACAGTCTGCCGTTCAGATCGCCCCAGCGCTCTTGTCGTTCAGCTGTCCTTAGCGAATAATTCTCTGCCCTGGGCAGGTTTTTCTGTGACGGCGCCGGCCTGATCCCAGTGACGTCCTCTCACCGTGCTTTGTTTCATGCCCCAAATAAGTGCTGGTTTATAAGAACCAGTGTGTTTCCCAGCCAAGTCCTCTGTGTCATCAGACTAAAACTAATAACAATAATTTTCAAAGTCCAAAAAAAAAAGAGTGAAAAAGGTGATTTGGGACAGTCTCAAGGGGGCATTTAGCCACCCAGCCTTGTTTTTCATGACAGCAAGAGGAAAGTTTAAAATCTGGATGATAGACTACTAACTAACAACAAAGTGTGTTTCACTATTATAAACATAGAATACAGTAAATTAGGAGGCTGGATAACAGAAAAGACAAAAGAAAATGAAATACCCTCTTGTGTTTTGCTGGTCCAAGTCATACTCTGACTCCAGAGTTCATTGTCAGCTCGTTGGTTGCTACGCTTTCTATCTGAACAGATTGTTCTAAAAAGCAGAAAGGCTGCTTGGTATTGAAAGTAGCTGTGACCACAGCGTTTTTGTGATTTTTATCCAGTTTCCCCAGAATTGGCTTGCTTTTTTGGCATCTGGTCACCATCATTTTATTCCACCCAGGGACTGGGCCCTAATTCTTGAATCCCTCTCCCTTTCCCACCAGCAAGTTTGCAGCATTTAGGTTGTTTCCAGTTTCCCAGCGTTCTAAATCAGTTTGTAATGAGCAGCTTTGGATAGGCCGCTTTTTCCATCTTAAAGATCCTTTCCTTTGGTAAGTTTCTGAGCCAAAGGATATGGCTGAGGTATTCATCCATCGCGTCAGGTTGCTCTCCAGGGGGACAGGGGCACACACACACTCGAACTCACACAGATATGCCACCCCCTCCACCCCGCTGCAGCTGCATTGCACCTGGGCCGGTGCTGGAAGTATTAGGTGCTATGAAAAACAAAAAGCAAACCACCCATGACTCCAGACATGGGAAATGCGATGTGGTTTGAATTTCATTTCTTTGATTCCTACCAGGCCCTCACCTCCCCCACGCCTTCCCATTTCCTCTTTGGTGACCCGCCTGCTCCAGCACCTTCTCTCCTTGGCCTGTCGGTGGGTCCTCTATCACCACCCTTGGCCGAAAGTACTTGCTACATTTTTTTTCCTTTGCAGTTGGTCTGCCTTTTGGTTCTACTGAGTTATTTTTTTTTAATAGATTAAAGTTGGAGAGTTTTGTTTGTTTGAAATGGTCACATCTTCCCCTCTGTTCACTTGGATCTCTTCTTTACTTTTAGTTTCATGACCTTCAGAGGTTTGGAAATGTGAAGTTCCTTTTTTTGGCGCTGGCTCATCTGTGGCTTTGGAATTCTTATGTCTCACCCGTGAAAGTGGCCAGAGCAGAGTTGTGTCCAGGCTGGTGGGGGAAAGGGAAATACCGAAGGCCAGGGAAGTGTGGAACAAGGGCCCCTTTCCCCTTCTCACTTCTGACCACCTTCTCAGAGTCCCATCACTTTCTTTTCTTCTTTCTTTTTTTTTTTCTTTTTGAAGATGTTGTCTTCTTTATTTATTTTTGGCTGTGCTGTGCAGCACGCAGGATCTTAGTTCCCTGACCAGGAATCAAACCCGCACCCCCTGCAGTGGAAGCGTGGACGGCCAGGGAAGTCCCCCATCCCTTTCTGAGCAGGGGCCTAACATGTGCTTGTCTGTGTGAAACTAGGGCAGGGGGCCAATTGGATGGATCAACTTTTAAAAATTGTTGCTTCCAGAGTATAGCCTGATCACAGAAGGACACATACAATAGGGTTTCACTTCTAAGAGGTCTCTGGAATAGTCATATTTATAGAGACAGAAGTAGGAACAATGTTACCAGGGGCTGGGAGAGGGAATGGGGAGTTAGTGTTTCAGGGGAACAGGGTCTCAGTTTGGGAAATGAAAAAGTTCTGGACATGGATGGGGGTGATGGTTGCCCGACAATGTGAACGTCCTTTAACGCCCCTGAACTGTACACTTTCAAATGGCTAAAATGGGAAATCTTTGTTATGTATATCTTACCACACACACAAAGCATAGACTGAAAAAACTAGGAAAGCTCCAGGAGGCTTAAGCCATCCCATGGTAGGTGACGTACTGAAGAGACCCAAGTGGATGGCAGGCACCCACGTCCTCAGGTGGTCTGAGCCTTACAGGCGAGCTCAGGCCTCTGCTGGAACAGGTTCTGACCCGGTCCCTGGGTGGCCTTGAGCAAGCCTTCCCATCGCCCAGGCCTCACTTCCACCCTGGGGAACGATATTATTGTCCCCATTTTAAGGGTGGGGGAACTAATCCCCAAGGAGTGAGATGTCCGGCCCCTGGTCTCTCCAGCCAGCTGGCGGCAGAGCCAGAGACATGTCACTGGCAGCCTCCTGTGTCTGACCCTGTCGCCGGCCACCTTCTTCCTTAATCAACCCTCCTTCCTAATCCCCCCAGGTTGGCCGCAGCTAGTGGGGGCCAGCCACACAGACAGCCTGCCAAGAAGGGGCCAGGGTGCTGCCCTTACCATTCGCTCCGTGCTGGGCACTGGCTGACAGGCCCCGACTTACATACCTCTCTTACCTCTCACGACAGCTCTAAGGGTTAAGGGTGCTGCCTCATTTTACAGATAAGGGAAAATGGGTGTATCAGTCAGCCTTCCACTAAAGAAACAGAACCAGGAAGAGGGAGGGAGACTGACTGACTGACTGACTGACTGATTGATTGACTGAAAGCAATCGGCTTACACGACTCTGGGGTGGCGAAGCCAGTCTGAAATCCACGGAGCGGGCCGTCGGGAAGGGTGGGCTGGAACTCTTCGGCAGGAGCTGACACTACTGTCCACCGGCAGAATTTCTTCTTCAGGGAAACCTCAGTTCTATGCTATAGCTTTTCAACTGCCCGTACCAGGCCTGCCAGACTATGGAGGATGGTGTAGATGTCACTGACATCTACAAAACCTGTACCTTCACAGCGACGCCTTGATTGGTGGTTGTGTAACTGGCTTCTTCAGCTGACCGTCACCGTAGGTTCAGGTTAAGTAACTCGCCCACCCAGGCTAGAAAGTGGCAGAACTGGGCTCACCGGGCCTTTACAGCTCCGCAGACCTTCTCCCCAGTGCCCAGGCTCTTCCAGAGCAATATGTTTAAAAGAGAGACAGAAAAAGACTTTGGAGACAGATGGTACCAGGCTGGAATCACTGCCCTGCCACACGGTGACCCTGGATAGACCGCCTCTATAGGAGTCCAGCCCCGACAGAGTGGACAGGGCAGTGGGGGTGGGTCAAGGGTGTCTGGGGGGTTGGGGGTGCCTGTCCCATGGGGGTGCTTCACCTTGACCTCATCCTTCCCTGCTGAGTGTTTCTGCCCCCCACCGGCACTAATGGCTCTGTCTCACCTCTCCCACCAGCAACATGAAGCTGCAGTACAAGGGGGAGAAGCCATTCCAGCCTGTGACACCGTAAGCAGACTGTCACTTCCCCGTTTGTGGCCCCGGGGTTGGGAGCTGCCTCCCCTTAACCACTCACCCTTCTTGATTACAGATCACAGTACCCTCAGCCCAAGCTGCTGGAGCAAAAGTAGGTGTTGATTAGGGCCTGGGCCCAGAATGGGGAGACCTGGGGTGGAGGCGGGGGCGCGGGCCTCTGATCTGGAAGTTGGGGTACTGGAGGTGTCCACTGGCCTCGGGGTCTGGGTCGTCTGGGACCTGGGCTCCGGTCCAGCTCTGTCACTCGCTGTGTGACCTTGGGCAAGTTAGCCAACCACCCCGGGATTTTTCTGCACAGGTGGATAATACTAATACCCACCTGATAGGAGGTTGGAGGCCCAGAGGAGACGGTGTTTGCAAAATGCACAGCAGGGAGTTCCCTGGCAGTCCAAGTGGTCAGGACTCCGAGCTTTCACTGCTGGAGGGCCTGGGTTCCATCTGCGGTCAGGGAACTGAGATCTCTCAAGCTGCGTGGCGCGGCCAAAAGTAATAATAATAATAATAACACAGAGCACTGTGCCTTCTGCGTAGCCGCGCTCGATCCGTCGTCGATGATGATGTTGATGACCCCCGTCTCCAAGGCACTTAGCGGGCACCGGAAATGCCGGGCTCCTCTAGACACTGGGCATGCGTTAACTCCTGGTCTTGACCACGCTGGGAAGTAGCTATGACTATCCCCACTTTCCACATGAGGATACTGGGGCCCAGAGACGGGGATGAAGCTGCCCAGGGTCACACAGCTTTGGCAGGGCCAAGATGAGAGGGAGGCTTTCCCAGGGGAGGGTCTCAGCCCCCACGGCCTCCTCTGCTGCCAGGCCCACAGAGTTCCTGACACTCACACCCTGGCTAGCGCCCATCGTCTCCGAGGGAACCTTCGAGCCGGAACTTCTGCGTCATATCTACCAGCCGCTGAACCTGACCGTCGGGGTCACGGTGTTTGCCGTGGGGAAGTGAGTAGTGGGCTGGGCTGGGCTGGGCTGGGGGAAGGGGGGTTATAAATTCTGAGCCCCAGGAATTTATAGTCTGGGGAGAGACAGGACCCCAACCCGGGCACCAGGGAGGCCCTGAACCAGGTGCTGTGCAGGTGGGAAGGTACAGAGTGGAGTATGCTGGTGGGAGGGGAGCTTCCTGGAGGAAGGGGGTCTGGCCCTGGCATGGAAGTGGGGAGGGGGAGGCAGCCCAGGTGAGGGGGCAGCAGGAGCCTTTGTCAGGAGACACCCTTGTCCCTTCACCCCTTCTGCTTCCCCTGAACCGTCCAGGCAGGTGTGAAGGAGTGGAAAGCCCCCCAGACCACCGCATAGAATTGGGGGTCCGTGATCAGGCCACAGGCAGGTCAAGAGACCCAGGCAGAGCCGGCCCATCCTTGGGGGCCCTCTCTCCTCCAGCCTCCGGCCTGCGGGCTCTCTGGGCACCTCCTGTTTTCCCCTCTCCTTCCTCACCCCGCCTGCCCTTTCCTTTAGGGGCCATCACCTGGCAGCTTCCCTCTGGGTCCCTTTCTGGGACTCCTGAGAGAGGGACCCTAATGGGTCCCCAGCAGCTAAGCACTGGCCAGATGATGGATGGCCCAGCGGGGATCAGGGGACCCCCCCACCCCTGGCCCAATCGGCACCCCGCACCCAGCACCACCCACCTTCCCTTGACTCGGCCACTTCCCCGTTTCTTGGCTCCTTTCCTCTCTCTGAGGCTCAGTGTCTGTGCCTAGGAAGTGGGGACTGTGGTCCCTGCCTTCTAGGGAGTTTATGAGGCTAGAAGGAGAGAAGAATCCCTTAGAACACTGCCTGGCACTTAGTAAGTGCTCAGTAAAAGTTAGCTGAGTCTGTGAATATGAGTCATCAATCATCATTATTAGGACGGTCTTAAGAGGTTGGTACTAAGATGGTGGGAATTTGACAGACAGGGACCCCGAGGGGCGGACCTGAGTGACTTCTTGAGATGGGAAGCTGGGAGGTGGACCCCAGCCTGGCCAGCCCCAGCCCTGTCCGTGTGGTGCTAGCACCTAGTGGGGACCCAGGCAGTGGCCCCGCTGAGGCCACGGTGCATGATGGGATTCTCTCCACCAGGTACACCCAGTTCGTCCAGCGCTTCCTGGAGTCAGCCGAGCAGTTCTTCATGCAGGGGTTCCAGGTGCACTACTATGTCTTCACTAACGACCCCACGGCCGTTCCTCGGGTCCGGCTGGGCTCTGGCCGCCTCGTCAGCATCATCCCCATCCTGAGGCACTCCCGCTGGGAGGAGATCTCCACACGCCGCATGCAGAGCATTAGCCAGCACATTGCCGAGAGGGCGCACCGGGAGGTCGACTACCTCTTCTGCCTCGATGTGGACATGGTGTTCCGGAACCCGTGGGGCCCCGAGACCTTGGGGGACCTGGTCGCTGCCATTCACCCCGGCTACTTCGCTGTTCCCCGCCAGCAGTTCCCCTACGAGCGCCGGCCTCTTTCCACCGCCTTTGTGGCGGATGGCGAGGGGGATTTCTATTATGGCGGGGCGGTCTTTGGGGGGCGGGTGGCCGAGGTATACGAGTTTACCAGAGGCTGCCACATGGGCATCCTGGCAGACAAGGCCAACGGCATCATGGCGGCCTGGCAGGAGGAGAGTCACCTGAACCGCCGCTTCATCTCACATAAGCCCTCCAAAGTGCTGTCCCCCGAGTACCTCTGGGATGACAGGAAGCCCCAGCCCCCCAGCCTGAAGCTGATCCGCTTTTCTACCCTCGACAAGGACACCGACTGGCTGAGAAGCTGATGGCTGAGCCGGGGCTGCCGTGGATGGGGGGACCCCAGTGAGCGCCCAGCTCACCGGAGCCTCCCTGCACCGGTGCCTCACTTCTCAAGCCTTAAGTGAGACCAGCCCTGTGCTGTCCACCTCTCAGTCTGCCAGCAGAATCCAATGGGAAAATGGGCCTGTGAAGACCTTTGTAAACTGTGAAGGGTGGTGCGCATATGAGGAGAACGCCAAGATCATGTAGCCTGTGTCCCAAGAACAGCAGGACAGGAGGCGGGGAGACCAGAGGTAGAAAAAGACAGGGCCCGGCAGGCCTCACCCAGCACACGTGCCTTGGGGCAGGCTCTGGAGTCTCAGCCCCGCCCAGTACCTCAAATTCCCCCTCTGCCCCCCTTCTGTTGCCTGTTGCCCTTAAAGTTGCACTTCTAACACTGTGTGAAAGGCATCCCGGACCCCTTTTCTCTGGCTCCAGGAGTCCTGGATACTGTGATGTCCCCCAGCCACACGGAGCCAGTCCCTCGCTCAGGTCCCTGAGGGAGCCTTTGAAATCGCCCAGGTCTAGGCTCGCTCTGGTTTCATGTCCCACCTCCCTTGAGGTGCACCACACTCCCTGGCACCAGCCGCCTCCTTTGTAAGAGGGTTTGGGCAGTTTTTAATAAAGGTGGCGTGTGCTTGGCCCTAATCGGGGTTTCTTCACCTGCACATCCGGGTATCTTGGCCACCAGCCCGCAGGGATGCAGACAGCCTGGGTTGCAAATACACTCAGCTCGGGTGGGTGTGGTCAGGGTACAGTTTTCCAGAGAACCTGGGCTGATGCCGCTGCAACAGACAGGGTTTCACCCTGCTTCTCCTGGGAGATGGGTGAAGTGGAAGTGTCGCCAGATATGCTCTCCTGCGTTGGGGGGCGCAGAGCCCACCAGCTGGATACCCTGTGGGGTCTTGGTCCCTGAGCACGTAGCAAATATGTCTGCCGGGGTTCCTGCATCCACGGTCAGCCTTAGCCCTGGGATGCCCCTGGCAGGCCTGGGCCCCCAAGGCCATGGTGCAGGCCCAGGATTAGAGGGTCTTCAGAGTCCTGCGGTGGTTCCTCTGCCTGGTGGGACAGAGATGCATCGGGGGGTGGCCCAGTGTCCACTCCCCTGGGGGCAGCATCATCTTTGCCACGTAAGGCAGGGGCGGAGGGCGGGGGGTGATGCGGTCTGTGGCCACGTCGGGAGGAGGAGGAACCCACCCACCTGACCACCCCTGGCAAAACGGGGGCCAGCCCCAAGTCCACTCTTCCTGCAGCCTGCATTTTGGGCGGCAAGCAAGGACAGACTGCAAGAGTGTGGACAGACTGAGTGACCGCTGTGAGGAGACAGCCTGCGCTGGAGAGGACGGTCAGGGAGAGGCCCCGAGGGGCTCCCTGGGCAGAGGGACAAGGGTGGACCCGTGGCCCATGTGTCGCTAGTGGGGAGCACCTTAACCATGGTGCCTGGACCTGCCCCAGGGTGTGTGTGAGGCCAGCAGTGTTGAATGGGCAGGCCCTGCCTTCAAGGAGCTTCCATGTTGGAGCATGGAGAGCGCCCTTAATGTGGAGACCAGAGAAGCCCTCAGGAGCAGGTGGCCCTGAGGCCCTGAGGCCCGGGCAGCACCATCCTTGCTGCGGGGAAGTGAGCCCCTTCTCACTCCCAGCCCAGCTGATGGGCCCTTCTCAGCCGTGGCTCAAACCCCAGGCACTATGGCTACCCTGGTCTCCATCCCAGGGCACAGGCCTCAGACACAGTGGAGTGAGTTACAGTGCCCAACTCCTGGACCCAAACCGGGGTCCAGGCTACTTTCCAAAAAGGAGCTGAGGGCTTGGGGCCAGAGCTGCTCCGTGGGTGGGAAGAAGGGGACTGGTAGGAGTGGGAGGGGTGGCAGGAGACAGGCCCGACCCAGCAGAGGGAGGGGGAGTGCCGGAAATAGAAATAGACAAAATTACGGATGCAAAATGTCTGCAGTGCCCCCTGCCAGGGAGGCCCCTGAAACTTAAACTTGCTGTCCCCTCATGGCCACCTACCACCTCCCCACTCCCTACAGTCCAGCATCCCTGCTCTGCCACAGGGCCTGGCCCTGCACACCTCCACTCACACGGCCTGCTGGTCAGGCCTCCCTGTCCAATCACCTGACCAATTCCTGGGGACAGACTCCTGACATCTCCAGAAAGCCTGCCTTGACTTATTCCCCCTCCAGGGTGGGTGCCTTTCAGTGTTCCCATAAATCCTCATCCCTATGTCATCATTGACAGTGTTCTGCCCATCTCCACCCCTTTCCCCAGTTGGTAAACCCCAAGAGGGTACAGATGGCGGTCAGCCAGGTTTACCCTGGTACCCGAAACCCAGGAGGCATTCCATGAATGTTTGTTGAATGACTGCATGAATGTGAGGCAGCTGAGAGAACACGGGTTTGAGTCTGTCCTAGCACACGAGGGATGCTGGGCAGGTTACTCTATCTCTCTGAGGCCCTGGGGTGACGATCAAATGGGATTATGGCTGGGAGACCTCTGGGCACTGACTTCTGGGCACGTACTTGGAGAAGTAGATAGGTCTGGGACCTAGCTAGGCAACATGCCCAACCCTGGGAGAGGGCAGATGACCATCATAGCCCCCACTGTGCAAAGGAGGAAACTGAGGCAGACCCCATCCCTGGCTGCATCTCAGGGATGCATGCTTGGGTGGGGTGAATAACGCACCCACTGAGCTCCTTCCAGTTGAGATGCTGTGGCTCTGATAAAGCCACATGGATCGTGTCCCCTGCTGCCCCCAACCTGCAGTGATCCCCAACTCCTTGCCCCACACTCAGCCCCCTGTGTGGTCTGGTCCAGACACCCTCCCCAGTGTGTGCACCCCTCACTCCTACCCCAGCCTCCCTACAGCCTTCCTCCCCCAGGGACCCCACCAAGCCCTCCCCCCCACAGAGCCCCTGCCTGCAGCGCCCCTCCCTGAAGCCCCCCATCCAAGAGGGACTCACCTCCAAGGCTGGGCTCAGAGGCCACAACCTTGGGCTCCTGTGCAACCACAGCCTTTGAGGTCAGAATGATCTGGGTTGAAACCCACAGCGGGGCCACGTCACAGCCCTGTGACAGGCAATCTCGTGTGGTGACTCTCAGAGCCTCAGTTTCCTCCACTGAAGATAAGGTCAGTCCCTCTGACCTTGGGAGGGAGTGTTGGGGATTAAAGCAGGGGGAAGGTGCCCAAAGTGCTTGGACTCAGGAGGTCGTCTGGCTGAGGGCGCCCAACACAGGACAAGGCCTCTGATGGTCAGCGCAGCCTCAGTGAAGGTAAAGAGCAATGATTCCGAGTCCCCCGTTCACTTAGAGCTGAGTGACCTTGAGAGCTGAAGCCACTGTTCACAAATAAAAAGTCAAAATCACTGAGCACCCAGGGGGTGTTCTTACTAACACTAACTACCGCCGACAGTCATTCAGCCAGTGGTGGGCCCCTCCTCCCTGGGCTCCTCCAGCCCCCTTTCACCAGCCAGGGCTGCAGCTGGCGACAGGCTGGACCTCGTGTCCGGAAGTCCTGCCAGGAAAACAAGGAAGGGAGTGTAGGGGGGGTGGTGGTAGGGGCGGCTTGACCTTCTTTGCTGTACCCCGTGTCCACTGCCGCCTCCAGGACTGCCTGTCCCAGCCATGCGCTCATGCGCTGAGCTGGCCCCAGCAGGTGGCATACGGGGTAGGACGGAAGGATGGGGGTGTACAATCTCACATCTCCAGGTCTACACTACCACCCGGCCCAGCCCCCGCCCGGTTGCGTTTGGGGCGGCTGGAGGTCCTAGGGGGCACAGGAGGAACAGAGCAGGTGGCGGAGGTGGGAGACGCGCTCTGACTCCCCGGTGCGCTGCGCGCGAGCGCGCGGCAAGGCGGGGCTCACGTGCACGCGACGTCCACGGGCCCGCGCAGGCCCCGTGTGCGCTCCCGGCCGTAGACTCTAGGCCCTGCTGCCCCGGCGGGGTCCACCCGCGTCACCCGGCGAGAGGCAGACCGCTGCGCGTCCCCGAGCTCGCGCGGCGGGGTCCGCCCCTCACACCTGCGGTAGGCAGGGCAGGGGCGGGGCGGGGCGGGGCCGCGGCGGTCCCCGCCCACCCGGCCGGAGCCCGGGAGCCCGGGCGGAACCCAGCAGCGGGGCCCGAGCGGCCGGCGGCGCGGCGCAGACAATGGGAGCGGCGCTGGCGGCGGCGGTGGCGCTGGCGGAGCCCCGGGCCCGGCGGGGACGGGAGGCCGCGCCATGAGCCCCGCAGCCTGGCGCCCCCCTGCGCCGCGCGCGGGCCGAGGCCAGCGGCCTCTGCGAGCCCTGGGCCCCGCCCTGGGGCCGGCGATGTGCTGCCAGGGCTGAGGATGATGGTAGATTGCCAGGTGAGTGCCCCGCCCGGCCGCGACCGCCCTCCCCACCGCCAGGGGGTGGAGGAAGGACCGCGTGCCCGCTCCCCCCCCGCCCGCACCCCATCCAGCCGGGAAGGAGCACCGCGCCGAGTCCACGCTGAGCGCGCGCTTACGCAGCAGTTCCGCGTCCCACCCTTCCTGGTACAGCTGGGAAACTGAGGCCAGGAGAAAGACACGGACTGGCCCGGGGCCACGAGGTGGGCAGAGTCCAGAAGAGAAGGGAGGGTTCCAGCCTCCAATGCCAGTACTCAGCCACTATCATGGGGTTTCCTTTGGGAATGAGAGCCCCTAAGATTCTGGGGGACCCCTGTTCACCCCCACCCATGAGGGGCCCTTTCCTCTCGGTATCCCGACGCGCCCACAGGTACATGCGCACACATTGACTTCACAGGTGGGGACCATGGCGTAGATCCAGAGGAGAGCGGACACAGAAGTGACAAGGGGGAAAGAAGAAATTGGTTGGAGGCAGCTCTACCACGGGGCAGGACCATCTAGTCTCCTGGCAACATGCCCAGGGCTCAAAGCGTGAGGGACAGAGGTGCCAGGCAGACGGGCTGGGCGTCTCCAAGGTTCCCGGGGGTCGGCGTAGGCAGGAACAAGCCTGGAGAGGACAGTTCCTCGGGTCCTGCATCCACCACTCTGGGCACCTGGAACTAGGATGAGATTCCCCCGTAGTGTGGAGGGAATTACAGGAGAGAAGTCCTTGGTTTACTCCACTGTAATTTGGGGTGCATAGATGGAGTGATCCCGAGGGTCCTGCAGCTCGTAGAAGAGTCTTTTGGCCTTGGTTCTCCATCCCTGACCCACTGTGCTCCAAGTCTTCCGGGTAGAAAATGCTTTCTACTCCTTCGAGGTCCTTCTGAGCAGGGGGCAGCCTGGGGACCTCGGGACCTGGGTGGTACAGAATGAGGCAGAGCATTGGACCACGTCTTTGTTGGCACCTGGGGGTCCTCATTTGGAAGTGGGTGGAGTCACTGCCCTGGTTGGAGTGAGGAGGCGTCCGGAGTGAACTGGACACCAGGACAGTGGCGGGAAAGAGGGGAGCAAGAGAGGCTTCTGAGGTCCTGCACATCGCCCCTGGAGCCGGCAGGTCCTGCTCCTTTGCCCCTCCGGGGTAGGGAGAGTCGCTGCCTTGACTACACCCAAACAAAGGTGTGTGTTTTGTTTTCTGGTTTTCCTGCCTGGGGCTGCAGTGCTGGGGATAACCACCAGGGGGCGGGCTGTGCTCACTCTGCTCAATGGAGCAACTGGAGCAGGGAAGGGGCACCCGGGAGTCATTCTGGGCATCCCCCTGCCTCCG